CATAACCAATTGATGAGCACCCAGGACCTACATGAGCAAAACAGAACCACATCTCAGATAAAAAGGATAAGGAAATATGAAAAACTAAATCATATAAGAGAGGTTGTACTAGCTTTATGATAGATATTATCCACAATTAGACTGCTATTATATACACCATATTCTATACCTCCATTGAGCCAGAGGAGGAGGGGCTTCTCAGATGATTCAGATTGAGCTTCAAAGAACAAGGAGAAAAGGGCCCTCCCATGATCTTTATTGACAGTGATGTAACCTGAAAACTGTGAGACTAACGGCCTTGAAGGTTGGCCAGGAAGATTAATTACCCTATCATGTTCATAGGGTTCTGCATTTATTTCTGATGCTTTGGTGAATGGAATTGCTGAAGGGTAGAAACACAGGGACAGAAAATAAAGAATAATATTCATATATGATACTAAAGTAGGCATCTTTGCTCCCAACATTGCATTTATTACCGCTGCTGCTTCTTCCTATTTATACATGTAAGGTTTGGGAGACATTTTCAGTGCTAACAAAGTACGCAGTGTCCATGAGATCTCTTAGACTTGTCAAAAATGTTTGTAGCGACTGCCCATAGTCAACATCAGCCAAAGAAAAGACTTTTAAATAAAGTAGTTAAGAGTGAACAATCTTCTCACACGAATGTCCATTGGTCTTGTTTTATATAGTTTTCAAATAATTGTATTTTGACCCAACAAATTTATTAATGGTTTATTCATTGCATTGATTTAGTCATCTGAATTCATTTTGAGCTAAATTAATCCTTTAATTTGACTAACAAATACAAAGAGCCAAGTTAAAACAATAAATAAATTAAAATACCAATATATTTATTCAACCTTCCGTTTCTTTCATGTCAGCCTATTTACATCCATAAGGGACTCGATGATTGCCAGTGTGTTACAGACAAAGACGGCATTAGGCTTATTATCGTAGTCATTTTTGTACGTTGTTTAGCAAGGTGGTTCGGCACCACCCGCTGTGACTCGTTCAATTGTTTCAGGGGAATCCTCAAGAAGTTACTGACAAATCTGCAACTGCGCATTTTAGCAAACACATCGTGTGCGTGTTGTGATTTTAATCTCTTGAATGAAATCGTTCGTCACTGAATATCACTATGTTTACTAATACTAGAGAAGATTGCCAGAGCTTACCTTCGGAGTCGTTGGAACTCCACTAAAGTCTTGAGAAAGAAAATGCCCCGCCCAGTAGGAGAAATAAAAACAAATGAAAAAATAGCTAGAAACAAAAACATAAAAACAAAAGGAGAAATATGGGAGCTGTTTGAAACTATTTTTATTTTATTGTTCTGAGAACTGGTGTTTTATAAAACATATTCTGAGAATAAAAAAATAATAAAAATAAAATATTTTTCTCATTCTGCCTTATTTTTCAGAACAATAATTCCATAACACTTGAAAGTTGTTTTCATTTTTCTGTTCTTCAAAATAATATTTTATTTTTTTATTCTTTAAAACACATTTTAAAAATACGTTACCAAATAAAATTTTTTTTTCTTTTGTTCTGGAGAACAGAAAATTATTTTCAAAACAAGTTTGCCAGACAAGCCCATGATATCCTATTGTTGTTTATTGTTTGGAAATGCTCTTGTCCAATTTCAAAGAGCTCTTTGTTTTTCATCCAATAAATTCTTTCTTTCTTTGCTTTAGATCCATCTAAGAGACTTATTTTCGCAAAATTAAAAAATTATAATCAAGTTTTTTGAAAATTGGATATAATTTATAATTAGAGTGTAAAAACAACACTATCCATATTAAAATACATCAAATTATATATGAAAAAAATGATAAATTTGTATTTATAAAACATAATATATGATTTGTAAATTGAGAATTTTTATTTGTAAATTATAAAATTACACTTATGAGTAAATGGTAAATATGATTTTAATATATTATTTATAAAATATGAAATATGACTTGTGAATTAATAATTTTTATTTATAAATTATGAATTTACAGTTATAAGTGTAAAATAAATATAACTTTAGTTTATTGTCTTTTTTTTTAGTATGGGCATAAAAGTTTTTTAACTTAAAATTCAATTATTGGCAGATTTTAAGAGACTTAGCTGTATTTTTAAATTCATGAGATCTATCTATAAATAACTCTTTTTTATAAGGATCGATATATAGTTTTTCCTTATTTTAATGTCTTTTTTCTTAGAGAAGGAAATATATAACGCCTTCCTCACAACTTTTCTTCTTGATAAGTAATGGGAGGGAGGGGGGAATTTTTTTTGGTTCTCAATTTAAAAATTATAAAAATATAATTTTAAATTTTTATACTTTGCTCACTTTTTGGTTCTCACTTTTTAAAATTAATGTTTTTTAGTACTTTTTTTTCGTATTGTAAATCTTTTCAAGATCCTTACACTTTGTTCATGTAGAGATCTAGAATATTAAAAAAAAACGTAAAGATTTATAACAAAATGCAAACAAAGTACAATGACCCAAATTTATGCTTTTCCTTAAAAAAATTTTCATGGTCACAATTCAATTTTCATGTAAATTTATCTAAATTACTGCTCACTCCCTCCACTTCCAAATATCTAAATTACTACCCTTCTTAATCAAATATTTGACACGTTTTTATTTTTTATTTTTCTATACAATTAACGACAGGACTAATGAATTGGAAGTAACCTCGTTGTAGCTACAAATGAAGCACTCCAAAAATAAACATTCAATCAGAACCAGAAGGTAAGTGTAAACGGCCTTCATAAAACCATTTATCATCTTAAGTTTGGACAAATACGGTTAAAAAATAAAAGTTTGAAGTTGAGGAGTTATAAGACCATATAAATCATCGTCGTTTCCATCTAAGTTTCAAAGTTAATGAAATGTTATTTTTTATTGTCTTTAACACAAGTTACTTTTAACTAACTTACATCTATTTTTTTAAAAAAAAAAATTAAAAGCCGGCTATATATTCAATTTTGTCAAAATATTCCAATAGTTTTCATTTTTTAACATTAGCCTTATTAAATACATTAAATTAAACACTTATTGTATTTCTAAAGATAAGGTATATTTGAAAACCTATGGCCTGGCGACCCTATCTAATCTTAATTAATGAAATCATTGTTCTTTTTTTTAATAAATTAAATCATTGTCCTAATAGCTCTAAAAATTTATAAATTTAGCTATTAATTTTATAATTTTAAGATGATGAATTTTATATTTTTTTTTCAAATTTTAAGAGAAAACACATATGTTAATGTACAAAGTTGAAAAATAACAAAATTATTGTTCTAACAACTCTAGCAATTTGCAAGTTTGGCCCCTAATTTTATAACTTTAAATTGATGTATTCACAAATTATTTTTCAAATTTTAAAAGGAAATACATATTTTAATGTTTAATATTGAAAAGTAACAAATTCATCATCATAATGGTTTCAAAAATTTACAAGTTTATCTTTCAATTTTGTAATTTTAAATTGATAAATTTACGATTTATTTTCTAAATTTTAAGAGAAAATATAAATATTGTTGTTTAAAGTTAAAAAGTAAGAAAATCATTCTTCTAGCAGCTTCATGGGTTTGCAAATTTGGTTCCTAATTATATTTTACAATTTCAAACTAATAAATTTACAATTTATTTGTCAAATTTCAATCATATGTTTAATTTAAAAGTATTTAAGTCAATTCCTTTATAATCAAATTTGTCAAAACAAGAAAGATACTTTGTTGGTATTTTGAAATTGATTAAAATTTAAGTTAAATTAATTAATCCTTTGAGACTTAATTGTCATTTTCTCTCCAAATAAACTCCAAATGTAAAATGTTCCACTATTTAAAAGATCTATTTCTCATTCAAATTCATGATCCATAGCCTTTACTATTCACTATTAATGGGAAGGTAATATTAAAAAAACAAAGTGTTTTATATTTTGCAACACCTCATATCTCTAAAAGTATTTTATAATTCGGAGTAGAAATAGTATTTACAATGATAAGACTTCTATTATGACTTATATCTTTTAATAGAGGGAATATAATTATTTGATTAAATTAGCTTCAAACCAATGATTTAAAAACCAAACTGAATCGGATGGTTAGATTGTCGACCAGAGCCATTAACGATTTGGTTTGGATTAAAAGACTGTTTTCATGATTAAGCTAGATTAAACTGGAGTTAAACTGTTATTGAGTAAATGTTTTTAAAAAACCGAACAGTTTTAAACATAATATTAAAAAAAGCTTAAAACATAAAAAAACTAGAAAATTTTTAAAATTAAATTATACTAAAAGTCAAATTTATTTTTGAATAATTTACATCTATAAAATATGATTTAAAAATAAAAATATTGATAATTATAAATGTAAATACAAATATTTTTGAGTTCATTCATATTTAATTTAACCAATATTTACTTATATTTAATAAATTATAAAATTATAATTTATAATAATATTATTTTATAGTCATATTATGTTATTTTATTGATATATTATAATTTTTTTATATTTATTATGTGTGTATATATTTAATATTAATTTTATTTAATTATTATGTCATGATTCAATGATTGATCTAACGGTGAAGTTAGAACTACTTGCTCCTCTGACTATTGGGATCTGAAAACATTGATTCAAAGATTTTTGAATTTCTTTCATATTCACGTAGACTCCAATTCGAGAATTCCCGTGTATTGAAGCATTCAAGAAGAATGGCAATTCGTGATGGCGCCTTTCCTCCGCTTGATCGTGGATGAAACTGAGGGGCAAAACAGACATTACACATAGCAGGCGCGTGCTGTACTGCAAACAAGTAGATCAGATCGTTTCTCTTTGTCCGCAATGCGAAGAAAGGCCGTCCCTAGCGGATCCGATCAATCCACTCAACATAGGTTGAGTCACAGAATCCGAGGAACGATAATCGAATCCAACGGTTAATAAGCGTGGTTTCACATTACTTGCTCTGTATTTACATGCACTGTATCATTGCTTCACTTCTCCTCATCACACGCTCTCACTCTCTATCCCTCACTGTTCTTCACCGAGCCCACCATTTGTGTCGCGTCTCCTGTTTTCCCTCCCACGCTCTTCGCTTCCTTCCTTCTTCTCATCCTCCTCTCTAAGGAGCCTCGGAGACAACTGAGGTACTCTATCTATCTATCTTCCTTTTTTTTCTTAAAGCGTAGTTCAGGTGTTTGATTTAATGTCTATGGAGGCATATCTATGTATTTATGCGGTTTTCAAGTTCGACTTCATGGATTTTCGGGTTTCCGTGAAGGATTAGATGAATTTTTTGCTAACTGAATTGTCTCAGAGCTCAGTTTCTTTGGATTCTGTTCTTTATGTTCTAAACGTTCGTTTGATTTGCTCTTGCGGCTTCTCTCTTTATCTGTGTGTCTTCCTGGTTCTGGTGGGCTTAGCAAAGTTCTTCTTTTGGAGGTGCTCAAGTGTTTATTATATATATTTATGTCTGTTCCTTGTACTTCTGGGAAAGTGGCTATTTTGAAAGTTTTCGTTTGCAAAGGTCTAGAAGATCAGGTCAGGTGTTTGATTTTATATCCCTGTGTGTCTTTATGTTTGCATGCGATTTCAAGCCTGGAATATGCTTCCCTTTGTCAGTTCTTGAGAAAATGAACTTCTTGGATTTTGCAAAGCTGTTTTAGAGCTCAGACTTATTTGGATTTTTTCTTCTTAGATTTCCTTTGATTTCTCGGGTGCCAAGCAAATTGCATACAGTTAACTATTTTTCCTGTGTTTTCCCCCATGTGGTTGCAGGCGCGCCTTGTCAAAATCTCAGATTTTCAAGAGTGAAACGTTGAAAAGATGAATCACTGTGGCTACCAGATGAACTCCTTGACAAGCTGCGATGAGAGGAGGATGGAACCTGTTGTCTGCCCCAAACCTCGTCGGTTAAATCTCCTAAACATCCCCATTGATGATCATATCCAAGGTACGTAAAACCGGACCGGTCATTGAACCGGTCATGACACTGGGTCACGGGTTAGTGGTTCAATTAGGGTTGAACCGGTGGCAAACCGGTCATGATTAAAATAATACAATTTAAATAAAAAAAAATATTAATTATAAGAACATTCAACCAAATACAATACTTCAAATATCTATCCTTACAATGACAACCTTTCTATCATATGATTAACATGTCCATGGTAACTAATATTGACCAACACCAAAATCATCATTAACTTCATTCAAATCTCCAGGCATTGAGACATTAGGACTGGAATGAGAAAAACCAGAACCACTAGCAACATCAGGCAAAGATGGGGGCTCTAGAACATTCATATATTCATCACCTACAATACAACAAATAAAAATTAATACTAATGAATGGCATTTCAAAAAATTCATATACTTGTATTAAACATGATAGTAAATTTAATAAACCTTCATAATCCCTCTCAAGGATTAATGGAGTAGCTATGGTTTCATTGTGAATGACATTTTCAAGATTTGCAACTTCTTGAGAATCAAACTCAGGAGCTGGCTCTTCCTCTTCTTCAGCCACCCAAAAGTCAATTTTGTCAATTGATTCATAATCAATGGGATCATAACTTTTATTTTTCCTCAATTGACTCCTTGAAAAAAAATAAAATAATCAAATATGATAAACAATAATAAAATTCATATTCAATTATAAATTATAAAAGCATTGCCATTTAAAACTCTAATTTTTACCTATGCTTCAATCGCAGATTATAATTTGTAAAAACTAAATCATTCAATCTTTGATGTTGTAATCTATTTCGTCTTTTGGTATGGATGCGTTCAAACAAACTCCAATTTCTTTCACAGCCAGAAGAAGAAGAAGTTTGGCTAAGAATACGCATTGCAAGAGTTTGCAATTCTGGAACAGAACCTCCATAGAATGACCACCATTCATCTGCAAATAAAAGACACTTAGTTAGATGTTAATCATATAATAACTAGAATTACCATGAACATGTTAAATAATAAATATGAATACTCACAAGGATCTAATTTCTGAGCTGCTCTTTCACATGAAGTTTTGTCAAAAGATTCTTTACGATCACGATACAAGCTCAATTGCTTCATCATTACAATATAATCAATTTCTTCACTTTCATTTGACTCAAACACATCAAGCATTGCATCCATTAACCTTCTCTTGTGAACAAAATTCTCATCATACAAGAATGCAGGATTCAACAAATATGCCGCTGCATGAAGATTTGTCTTAAAGTGCTTATCCCATCGAGCTTGAATAATGCTTGTGTAAGGCTTGTAATAATCTCTCTTATTGTTGAATGTTGCCTTAATTGCTTTTTTTGCCCTTTGCATGCCTTCATAAACATAAGGCAAAGAAGGCTTCTCATCTGAATCCACAATTCTCAACAACTTTATAAGAGGAGATACAACCTTCACAATTTCTAAGCAATCACCCCAAAAGCCATTATCTAATATGATGGCAGTAACAATTATTCCAGCTTGAGTCTTTGACAATTTGTGATCCACAAAGTGCTTATCAGTCACCAAAGCTTGCAAGTCATGCTTATGCATATATATGCTATGCAACGTAATAAATGTAGTAGCAAATCTTGTTGCACCAGGACGTACAATTTCTTTCCAACCCGATCTTTTCCTTAGCCATGACAAGAAGATCATATGATTATAAACAAAAACAGTTATCTTTGATGCCTTAGTTGCAAGTGCTGACACATTGTCCAAGCTTGCTATATCTTTTAAAGTAAGGTTCAAACAATGAGCAGCACAAGGTGACCAATAAATATTTTTATATTTTTCCTTAATCAACTTGCCACATGCTACATAATTTGCAGCATTATCAGTCACCACATGAACAATGTTCTTAGGACCAACCCACTCAATCACTTCACAAAACAACGAGAATAAAGTCCTAGCATCTTTTACCAAATCTGATGCATCAACAGATTTCACAAAAACCATTCCATGTGTAGAATAGACTAAGAAATTAATCAAAGTTCGCTGCCTCACATCTGTCCAACCATCAGCCATGAGTGTACATCCAGTGTTTTTCCATTTAGCCCGATGACTCTCAATAAGTAATTGACATTCTTTTTTCCAATCTGTCAACAAATTGACTCTAAATTCATAAGCATTAGGGGCTTTAAACCCTGGCCCAATAGAAGCAATAGCATCTATGGCTTTTTGAAATGAAGGGCAATCTAATGCATTAAATGAAATGCAATTGATGATAGCCCATTCAGCAATAGCCATTTTTGCATTGTACTGTGCTTCTTTTGTTGCAAACACACTTTTGATGCCAGGCTGGGAACCAGGAGTTGTCCTAGGGGCAAAATAATTCTCAACTGAAATAGTAGAAGCTTGCCTCTTATTGGCACCTCTCTCAAGGACTATCTTAATTGGAGTAGGAGCAATTGGATCATTAGTTTCAAGGTCCCCTATGTCTACTTGTTCTTGTTCTTGTTCTTGTTCTTTTCTATCATTAACCTTCCTTTTTCTCCCACCTTTCAAAGACTCTACCATTCTGTGACGTACATCATGAGGAACTTTTTTACAAGAAGCTACTTGACCACTTACACCAGCAAGATGTTGCTTCATTCTGTTAATCCCACCTCCTCCATAGCTTGATGCACAATAAAGGCAAGTATATATATTTTTCTTGCCTTCTTTTCTTAAGGCAACATGTGCCCAAGCAGGATCAGTTTTTCCACGCATAGATGGGGCCTCATATGTTGAATCATTACCACTAGGAGGGGGATCATTGGAATTAGAGGTAGGATTCTCATTTCTATCACTACTACTAGGATTACTTCCAATATCCATGATCAATGCAATAATTATATTTTAACCTGCAAGCTAAAATAATGACTAAGCTTCAATTTCATTTTTCCACACAAATGCTGATTAGTCATATTCAGTGTTGACTGCATAGTTTTCAAGTTTGGCCACAAAGAAAGAAGGAAAAATAAGAAGCTAGATATGCCCTGTCTATAACATAGTGCAATCCGTAGTTCAAAATTAAGATAGAAAATCACAACATTTTTAAAATGCACACACAGTATGAACCTGAGCAGAGGATAAAACATATGCCTTGAGATTGCAATCTATATAATAGCAATTCACGTGCAAAGATCTCATTTTCCCAACCAACATATATAACCCCCAAATCATCAACAAGATAAACAGATCACAGAGCAGGAAAAGATCAGAAAGCGCCATCAATAATCCCTATTTAATTTTAAAGGGCTTGGACATGATCGATCTACAAAGTCATGAAGCATAGGCTTGAGCTGTCAGATTCAAAGTCCTCTCCATACTTACTTGAAATATTAAACAGAACCATAAACTGACATTATATTGTCAAACAAGATCAAACACAAAATCATTACCAGAAGAAAGCCTAGATCCGAAGCCAAGATCAAACATTATATTATCAAAGCCACAGATGATTATGAAACTAAACCAGTACATACATATAGCTTCATTTCCGAAGCAACATAAAAGCACAAATTAACAGTAAAGAAACCTTAAAACCAGAAAAACACAAAACACCAGAAAGTTTCACACATACAAAATGATCTGCCAAACAAGCAAGAAACAAATCACTAGCAACAGAGTCGACCACTTAAGCTGAATCACGAAATAAAAAACAGAGTTGTGCACGATCAATAGTAACTAACCTGAAGCAAAATGCGAGCTGCGTACACCGAGCTGTCACGAACTGACCGGCTGAGATTTCAGATCGATCAGGCTAAGAGACGGAAGTCGTACACTGAGCTAAAGGAGAGATCGAACAGCAGAGATAGAGAGAGAGAGCTGGAGAGGACGGATGGTCGGAGACAGGGAAAGGCGAGAGAGGAGGGTCGGAGAGTAGGACGCTGATTAGGGCGAGAGAGAGGACTGAGGAGAGACGGTAAGACACAGACGTAAGTCACGAAAGGGAAAGGCGGAAAGCTGGTGCTGTCTGGCGTCCGTCTGCGTCTGGGCTTCATACCATGGGCTCTGGATTTGGACCGAAAGAAAATTAAAAAAAAAAACAAATCCCCCAAAACGACGTCGTTTTGGGGATTTTTGTCTGAAAAATCATGACCCGGTTAACCCAGTCAACCCATCGGGTTATCCGGGTTACACCGGGTTGACCCCGGGTTGACCGGGTTACACCGGTTCACCCCCTCACCGGTTTAGGAGTAAACCCAGACCGGACAAGGGACCGGGTCACCGGTTTCCGGGTTGACCCGGCCGGTCCGGTCCGGTTTTCAATACAATGATCATATCAGACCCCTGAAACGGTCAATCAAGTAATTTCTTTTCTTTCTTTCTTTTTTTTTTTTCCTCATCCTAGCCAATCTCTCTAATTATTGTTTATTTCTAAGTCTTTTCTCTATATAAATTCTGACTTTCTGTTATTTTGTTGTCATAAAGCAGCAACCAGTCTGAGATCGAAGACTTGGGAGTTGGGGCAGAGCTTATGAATATAATTTTCTCTAAGGTTGTTTTCTCTTTTGATCTATGTATCTTAACTAGTATTTTCCAGGGAAACAAACATACCGCTCCCCTCCTTTACGCCCAAGAAACGTGCTTTTTCACTCCTTGATTTATCGTGATTGTGCAAGGATGAAATAAAATTCAATCCTGGTTATTTGTTCTTCAAGCCCATCTATCTGTTTTGATGACTGCTGGACCTGGAAATGATTACATCTGTATGATCATTTGGGTATTTGAACCTGAACAATTAAGATATTGTTTGTCTTGTTATTTTTATTGAAGATCTACAAATAGATAAAAATTTAGCCAGGGTCTGTCCTTCCAGCCCGCCCCAAATATCTAACCACGATTCAACTCTATTGCAGGAAAGCTACAAGGGAAGATTTGAGAGCCAAATGGCTTATTCACCACCATTTTTCTGTGGATCTCCACCTAGCAGGGCTTCAAATCCTGTAATCCAAGATGAACAATTTGGTAATGAGACTTTTAACCCATCTTCTTTGGCACCCATCTCTCCATCCTCTTCTTCAGCTCGAGGTTGTGTTCAAATGAAATTTGATCTCAAACCAGCAGCCGTGAGGATCGAAGGTTTTGATTGCCTGAACAGAGATAGGAGCCCTTGCAGTATATCTGCTGTAGCATAAATAAATACCTTTTTCAAAAACAACAAAGCAAAGAAACAACTAGAATATAAAGAAAGATTACTGAAGTTAGAGGAGATTCTGGGACGGAGAAGCTTTTTTTTTTTTTTTAAGTTAGTGTTTTTTGTTTTTGCTTAGCTGCTTTTCTTAAAGTATTATTCATGTATTATATGGATGTATGTATATATGGTCTCTGGAAGCTATTGTTCATGAGTGAGAAGAAGTTGCCAAGTATGATTGAAATTTTTGAAGAAAGGTTTTTGTTTTCCTTTTGAAGAATAAAGGAAGACGAGATGGGGGGAGAGAGAGAGTCTAAAGTGGTAAAGTGTCTCTTCTGTCTTCACCTCCCTTGTTAGTTTTCATGGGTCTTAGAGATTGAAGGAGTTTGCAACTGTCAAGTGTTTGTTTCTCAGAAACTCAGATCCTCCATTTGTAATTTTGCCATCTTGGCTTGGAGGAAATTGAGAATTATTATTCTTTGGGGTCATGTAAATTATTGTTATTATTATTATTTTTTGTGGGGACGCTGTTTGGAGGTGTTACCTATTTGATAAATTCAACGTGTTGTGTTGTATGTACATAAAGTGTCACCTAAAGCAAAGCTCTTGTTTGTATATTATGTTGTACTTTTTAGGAGGATCAGAGGAAGTTTCAAAGCATTGTATGGCCAATTCTGTGTATTTGTCTTGTTTCTTTAAGCATTTTCTTGATAAGTTTGGATGGAGATTACGTATTGGTTCATGCGTGGATGAAGTAAACACAAGCGATGAGAAGTTTCAACTTTCAAATTATTTGTATTTTAATTGATTTTATTTATTATAATTATGATCAATAACCATATCAGAATGAACAAACCTTGGTAATGTTGGGTAGGAAGTTGCTCAATGCCGTTTAAACATGGTTTAACTTTAATAAAAATTATGCTTGGAGTTTCTTTCAATTAAAATAATTTAGCTCTAATAGTGAATAATAATGAATGTTAGTTGTTAGTTTAGAAGTACTTCCTAGTCTTATTTGTAAGATATTTTTTATCCAAAATATTACACATCTTGTAATAATTAATTTATTTTTTAATTTTACTTCTTATTAATTAATGTAAAAGTGTTTTTAAATATTGTTACATTATTATTTAAAATTAAGGATTAAAATAAAAATATTTTTTTATGATATCATAAAAAAATAATTTTTTCAAGATGTTTAAAACGATTAAAAATATTATATAATAAAAAATGTAAGGAGTATTGCTTCTTCAAAAATTTAAAAATGTTAATTAATATGATTTTTAAAATCGTACTTTCCCATTTATTTTTATAATGATTGTGCGTTTTTAACATTTTTAAAGTAATAATATGATATGATAATGCGTGTTTAGTCAACGAATGATTTAGCTCGTGAATCATATGGTCATGATCTTGATGGTACTTTATCTCAAAGGATGATTGTTATTTAAAATACAAAAATGTCAAAAATGAAATTATTTAGTCTACTGACTTTTTTGAAATAATTTGACAAGATCAAAGTTTCACTTGTTAAAGCAAGCATAGAATGGTCCAAGAAAGCTCCTTGAAGATGGCGATGAAGAGGAATCGGCAATATTCAGCATATTCTCAATATATTTCGGTCGGCGTGGGTGGGACGCACTTATTGGGATTCTTTAATGATTTTTCAAGAAAGCACGTTTAGTTTATCCATATTCACTATTATAATATTTCTTGAGTGCATGCACTTGTGTGCTAATGATGCTAATTGGTTAGGTTGTCAGTTTCATAACATTTACAAAAAGAAAAAATCAATTAAATCACACAAAGATGTGTTTGCTACAATGTACATGGAAAAAGGAAGGAGACAGGAATTCTTAAAAAAATAACAATAAAATTTTATCAAAATATATGAATTACAATCAAGTCTTTCAAATCTAAAATATTAAAATTTTTTTGAAGTTTATAGATACATTTTTGATATTAATGATTCTAGGTCAATGACCAAATTACTCTTGTTTAAAATAAAAAAATAATGAGTTCATATGAGAAGTTATAATTTTTTATTCAATTTTTATAATTTATAAAATAAAAGTTATGATTATTTAAATAAAATTTATAATTTATTTTTTAAATTTTAACTTCAATTATAAAAGAAATTTCACATAAGAATTTATAATTTTTTATTCAATTCTTGATATTTACATAATAAAAATTGTGATTGAATAAACAAAAGTTATGATTTGTTATTTTCAGAATTTGGATTTCAATAATAAAAGAAATTTCACGTAAAAAATTGTAATTTTTTATTTAATATTTGATATTCACACAATTAAAGTTATGATTGTTTAAATAAAAGTTGTAATTAAGATTGATTATTTTTAAAACTTTTTTATCAATTAAAAAAGAAATTTCACTTGAAAAATTGTGATTTTTTAATTATTTTTATGATTTATAAAACAAAAGTCGTGATTGAAAAAATAGGGCTAGACCCATTATTTTTATTTTAAACAACATGCAATTTAGTTATTTAACCTAAAATTATTAATGTCATAAAAGTAACTAAAAACTTTAGAGGAATTATGAAAATTTGAGAGATTTTATTGTCACTTATATATTTTGGTGAGATTTAATTATCATATTTCTAAGATTATTTTCTATAAACAATAAAAAACCCCCCTTTCTAATAAACAAAAGTCAATTTATCACACGCCAAATATGAAAATAAACACAAGTTATGATTTGTTATTTTCAAAATTTGGATTTCAATAATAAAAGAAATCTTATGTGAGAAATTATAATTTTTTATTTTATTTTTGATATTCACACAATCAAAGTTATGATTGTTTAAATAAAAATTGTAATTGAGATTGGTTATTTTCAGAACTTATTTATCAATTAAAAAAAATTCACTTGAAAAATTGTGATTTTTTTAATTATTTTTATAATTTATAAAATAAAAGTCATGATTGAAAAAATAGGGCCAAATCCATTATTTTTATTTTAAACAACATGCAATTTAGTTATTTAACCTAAAATTATTAATGACATAAAAGTACCTAAAAATTTTAGAGAAATTATGAAAATTTGAGAGACTTTATTGTCATTCATATATTTTGGTAAGATTTAATTATCATGTTTCTAAGATTATTTTCTATAAACAATAAATCCCCCCTTTCTAATAAACAAAAGTCAATTTATCACACACCAAATATGATATAAAAATAATTCTCATATTTTTATTTTCCTCAAATCTTCTTTTCATGTGCCAAGCGTAGCAAATTGCTTGCAATATTAATATATATCATATATTATACAATGATTATATATAAGTCTAAATATCAACAAATATTTGATAAGACATTAATGGAAAATAATTATAATATTTTATAATTTTTTGGGCAAACAATATTTTCTACTGATATCATATCATTTGTCAACTTATGTGATCGCTTATCAGTGGACATTATCAATCATATTAAATGTCCTTTCAAATTTATTATAATGAATGGATGATGATGATGTTTTTTTAATTTTTTTTGAGTTTTTATCTTAATATTAAAATTAAAAATTTTTAAATTTATTATTATTATTTTCATTTTTAACTGAATTTTTGAAAAGAAAATCATCTTTAACATTAAGAAAGATATTTTTCTAAATAAAAATGGTTTAAAAGTAAACTTTAAATTTAAAATCAAATTCTTAAGAATTTTTTTTTTGTCTTTTGCTTTTAATCTCCATTCACTTTTTAAATATTTAAAAACAATCTTCATGAATATCAAATCTAAAAAGTAAAAACCTTAGGAGGTTACGTGAAGCCCAATTAAAAGCTCTCCATATTTTACGGCATAAAATTCTCACAAGCGATTCCCTTCACCTCTTCTATTTCACTTCGATAGTTTCAGTAACTATCAATTGTATTTGTCAAGGTATTAAAAATTAGATTAATAATTAAATTAATTAAGCCAATAAATTATAAGTTGGTGATTTAATTTAGGTTGAATCGGGGTCAATTTAAAAAATAAATTAATCATAATTAAAATAATACTATTTGTTTAGTCATTAGTTTTTGAGACTGTAAACTAACATAACACCTCCTCGAGGTTTGCTTTTGCATTTTAAGTAAAAAAATTTTATTAGACTTAATTTCATTTAAAGCTCTTAAAATTTGAAAATTTTATTACATATGTAAGAGATTGAAATGAAATTAAAAGGATGATTGAAATGACTTTAATAATAAATGATGTATGAAAAATATTGAAATTTAACAGTTAAATATAAATAATTAAATTTATTTTTTTGAAACCTGTTTGTAATTCTTTAAACACATGGCTAAGAATATTCAAGGACATGGTTTCTCTCTGATTATCTGACCCTATGACATGCATTGGATCCGATATGTATATGTTACATCAATACTTCCACTTTTTAAAAAACAAGATACGATACATTTTATTTATAAACAAATTATAAACATACATTAAAAATTTATTTCAATTCATAAAATATCCAAACTAGCATAAATATATACTTTATAGTAATATTAAGTGAAACATAATCATTAATTAAATTTTTATTCCATCTCTATCTAATTGTCTATTTTTTAATCTTTGCTAATAGTTCCCCACATAGTGTTTATATGTCAAAATATTATATTTTTATGTTTGTATGATTAGAAAATATAATTTTTATCTTTTTTATACCTAAAACTTATTTAAAAAAAATCTAATATTTGACTTTAAAAGTAAAAAAGCACATTAGAAACAAAAAAATTAATATAGCAAAATTTCATTTCTTAAAAATAGACTTGGAATATTAGTTCTAAGGCATCAACTGGCACTCTAAAAATATGAGTACATATTGAAAATTAATTTTTTTAAAAAAAAATAAAAAAATATTATTTTAATATTTTATGTATCGAATAAATATAAATAAATATTAATATTGGATATGATATCAATACAAATATGTGAGAGAACTTAAAGAATAAGTGCTTTATAAGTTATTTCCAGCCCTCAGGTGCACCAAAACACTCTCAATCTCAGCTTCGCCTTTTTGGGCTTCTTGCGATGACATATTTACCATCTTGTCAAATTTATACATGTACATGAACAGACCTAGATATAAATGACCAGAAGGGAACCTGCTTCCACTGTTTAGAATATGTGAACGATGTGGCTAGTAAAAATTCAAAGTTTTGTAGTGGCATATTCTCTGATTTTTTTTATAAGTTATTTTTATTAACTTTATCAATAATAATGTTAAAAAAAGTAAAAGAAATAAAAGTTTGTAAATTTTTAAATATTTCTTTATATAATAAATTCAAAAAATGATGTGATGTTATTTTTTCTCTCTTATAAATGATAATTTTTAAAATATTATTTAAAAAGTCACACCATAATTTATAAATGAGATTAAATAAATTTTTTAAATTGTCTTTATGAATGGAACCGGAGAGAGTAGTATTGATTATTGATAATGATTACATTAATGGCAATTGATTGATATATTGAGGAAATTAATGATTGATGGGTGAAGATGTACTATCTTCTTCATATGTTGTTGTATTTGTCAGGCTAATTGCATAGACTCCACAGTGCACAGTCCCAGCAGCTGCAGTTTTTGATAGTGAAGCTTCAAAGCTAAGGGCTGAGAAAGTGCCTCTTGAACCATCTGAGAGGGACAATGCTTGTATTGCTGGCACTTACAGGGAAACCAAGAAGAGCAAAAAGAATAAAGATGCTGACTAGTTTGCTTATGAGGCTCTTACATTATGGGCAAGATTTCTGTAGTTAGATTTTACACTTAATATATTTTTATCTAATACATATATATTTTAATGTATTAATAATATTAATAATAAAAATTTATTATAAAATAAATAATATATCTTAATTTAATTGAAAACAAGTATACAAATATATTTGTAGTTTTAAAAGCGCTCCATTACATATTGCTTATGAGTATTTTGGTTAATGATTATGGGCTTTTCTTTTCTTTTGTTTGGGGTGGGTCTTGTTTATGATTTTTTTTTTAGACTGAGCGTTAGTGAATTTATATCAGATAGCCGATTGTGAGTCTTGCTATTTTTCATTAAAAAAAAATGAAAAAGAGAGAGTTGGGTTTTTTTAGAAATTTTCTAATTTGCTGTGAAATTTTCATTGTATTTTCAATTATTAGACCTTCTAATTGCATGCCAAGTGGGGGCCTGTATTGATTCGATTCTCAAATTCATGGTAAATTGAATCCTTAGGCCCCATTTAATAAGATGGGAAGAGTTTTTTTATAGAATTAAAAATAAAATTAAAATTGGAATAATGATCATGTAGTCATGTGAAAATAACATAAAATAATAAAATGTATATAAAATTTTAGTTTATATTATTATGTTTATTTTTCTCAAATTATATTTATTTTAGTCTGAGACACTGTAAAGACAATTGTCTTTCAACCCCTTTCCTTCCTCTTTTATATTAGAATTTTTTTTGTAATTGTTATTTTAAAATATATTTGATATTTTTATAATTGTTATATCCGAGATTAATAATTTTACGAAAGATTGTGTTTCAAAATATGACTAAAATATTAGGCCGATTGATGCACAGATCATAATGAAATCAAAAACTTATTTTGGGCATGTGAAAAAAGAAATAAGAGACAAACAATGATGAGTAATACTAATAATCACAAGTGAATAATAGATAAACAGATATTGTATATTTAAATAACATGTCCAAAACTATCATAGGCTTTTTGGTCCAATAAAAAACTTACTTAACCTCAAAAGAAACGGTTCTCTAAAAACTTCAACAAAATGATCTCTCATTCTCTCCGTTACTCTCTTTTTATTCTTTTGTTGTCTTCACTTTCACTAGTTTAAATTAATACTAATTGTTAAACAACAACAACAACAACAAGCCTTTATCCCACTAGGTGGGGTCGGCTATATGGATTGCAAGACGCCGTTGTGCTCTATCATTTATCTATTATCCATGTTTATGATAGATTCAACAAAGTTTTACATTGGCTGTTGATGGTCTAACACAACTCTCCTCCTTTACCCAGGCTTGAGACCGGCTATAAACATAGGTGGAGTTAAATTAATACTAATTGTTAAGATTTAATATTTTAATCAAGATGTTCAAATTAGAAAAACATAAATAGATAAATTAGAACTACTAAAATTTAATTTAAACGATCCTGCAAACAAAGAACCAACTCTTATAACAGTAAGTGGTAAGAAAAAAGGAAAGGCAAAAGGGGGCGGGGGAAGGAGGAGGAGAGAAGCCAAATTGAAGACTGGTATAAAAGTAAGAGTGTTGTTATATTCTCCAAACTAAAGTATAATTAGAGTTCTAAAGGTCACATTATCAACAGAATACAAGATTTGAGATGTGTCAACATATAAATTTACAATCTCTACCTTTACACTCAACTTTTTATCTATTTATTCTTTTTTCAGATGTACTATATTCTGACAATCTTGTGCCTCTGTGAACAAGAAGATGAAAACTTTAGGGTATGTTTGAATCAATAGTATTGTTTTATATTTGCACCAAACTTTCATATATGCTTTTCCTAATCTGTTGAGCCTGCATGTTTGGTGACTTCAGGGAAATTCTTTGAGGGGTTGATGAAGAAGCTTGGCCCTCTTCTTGTGGGGCTTTTAACAGGTTCCGATATGGCTTGAGATCTACAGGCTGAAATTAACATACCATCATTAGAAAATAATGTTTTCTTTTAAATTTGGCATAGAATATCCAGAGTTTTAAATATAATAAAATATTGAAAAATGTGTAAGAGTATCAAGTCTTACTCCAGTGTTAATTGATCCTTCCTCTCATGTGTGTACAAGAAGTACTCACTTCTGCAAGTTACCTGATGATTTTGTGCTTCCAATGAAAATGGAATTTTCAGTAGAGCCATCGGGATCTATTCCCACGGAAATGCCACTATCAGAAATGTTACGGAATGTTTGGCAGTTCGCAAAGTGCTCTTTACAAAGGAAACGGGAAATGCACCTATCTCATTTTCTTTCTAGATACATTTCCCATTTCCTTTAAAGAAAATATTTTTTCGCATACCAAACATAGAGTTGATGTACCATCTTTTTTCTCAGAAAGTTAGATCCATACCTCAACGGGTTCCGCTATTTTTCAGATCTTTGAGTAACTGTAGCCTCTCAATTTCTTCATCTTTTTCTGAAATAGTGTCCTTGAGAGAAGCCACCTGCAATGACATACAGAAAAACAATAAGACAATGCATGAGGGTTATCACTATAGCAGAAGCCATACCTAAAAGGGTTAGATCAATTGGAAAGAGGAGATAGCATATCTCTTCTTCCCAACTTGAGCTCAAATTCTCTAATAAGAAGAAAATTTCCTTTGCCATCTACTTTAAACTCATGATTCCATGTTCTTGAGATGCCCCTAGATAATGGCTCTTTTGGACTTCAGTAAATATTGTCTCCCTTTCTTGTGAAACAAGTACTGAAAACCGAATCAGTCGTTGACCTAGTCAAGACGTCGGTTCAAAGGTTAACAATCAAAATCTTAGTTGAACTGTAGTCAACTTAGTCATAAGCAAAGCACTTTATTAAACCAGTTAAAATACTGGTTTAATAATTTATTGGTTCCAATGAGTGGGTTGACCGGACTTTCCATGCTATATTGAAACCATATCATCTTTATAAGTTTAGTTTAAGACTTCTCTCGTGATCACTGGCGATTCTAGGAATTGACTCCATTCAAAATCAAAAGGCTCAGAAAAGTTGGTCCAGTCCTGTTCCTTTTATTTCATGAAAGCTCCAAAAATGACAGGAAAAATACCGGTAGGTTTTCAGCACAACTCTAAATCGGTTAAGAGTACAGCGCAGTGATCCTAGATTTTGCACAGCTTTAAAGGATACAACAGCAAAATCAAGTGCTATATGTGAAACCAACTGAGGGGAATCTGTTACATTTCCAAAATGCTGATAAGCATGTAACAGAACCAACTTTATTGATTTTATTGGCAAAAAGTTAAGCACCTGCTCCATTAATTCTCTAACATCTCTACCCTCTTTGGTGCTTCGTGCGGCTCCTAACTCAACTCCAGAAACCCTCTCAGCAAATTTTAATGTGCTTAGAGTTTCTGAAGTCGAATTTACATCTGGATTGACTTGGACAAACATAAGAGTTTTTGCTTGACCTCCTGTGCAGTTAAAACAAAGATGAAATTTATATATAATCAATTGGCTCAGCAGAAAATCTAATCAGGGAAGTTAAGGGGATGCAGATAAATCTTGAAACACTAAGCAGCGCAAGAAACCTTTTTTCTTAAAAACAAAAAAAAAAAAATTAGCAGGTGTCAATGACCACTTCAACTCTATCGGTTAAGCTATTAACCAAATACTCATGAATTGATTTAGGAAAAATTAATTTTTTAATTCTTCAATTTTTAACTCACTTGTAACTCAATTCCTCAACTATGACTCACTGCGATTCAGTCCCTCAACTATAACTCGTTGTGACTCAGTCCCTCAACTTTTGATTTACTTATAATTCGGTCCTTATTTTTTAATATTTTTTTAAAAAATTTCTTATTAAATAAGAGGGATAAAAAAATGCTCATATATTATTTTAAAATACCCTCCTCTCACTCATTGATGTGAGATATAAGTTAACATGAAGAAAAAAATTAACAAAAGTTAAGGGACTTATTTGTAAGTGATTCAAAAGTTGAGGGACTAAGTCATAGACAAGTCATAGTTGAGGGATTGAATCACAGTGAATCATAGTTGAGGGACTGAATTACAAGTGAATTAAAAATTGAAGGACTAAAAGATTAATTTTCTCATTGATTTATTAGAATCTCTAACAAATCCCATTACATAAAAAAGCCTGAACTCACCATACCCTGTTCTTGAACTTAAACTTTTTTCATTTACTTAAGAGAATGGAAAACGAACTCTATACCACTTAGTTAAACTAGTCTTAAGACCAGTCAAGGATCGTTTCAATTCAAAAGCTTAGACAGCTAAGTGAAACTCAAGGCAAGTTGAAATGAAGAAGACATACCGAGAGAACTTTGCAGGAGTTGAGTAAGTTTGCTGTTTCTGTATGGTATATGGGAGCTCTTCTGAGAAAGGGCAAATATGACATCTCCAAGGGCAGATAGTGATTTGTTTATATGTTGTGCTTCCTTAAGCCTATCCCCAGTTACTTCAGAGCGATCTACCCTTTCACTTCCTGCCAAATCTACCAAATGAAGATTGCCAAATAGACTAGAACCAGACTTTACATCTGTCCCGCGAACATGAATTGAGACCACACTGTGCATATAGGTTTGTTGAATATCATCATATCAAAAAGCTTTCCAAGTTAAAATGTCCAAGAAAGGAAGAATAAAATATTTTTCTTAGTAAGCAATGCCTGCAGAATCATCTTTGGACCACACTCGTAAACAAGTGAAAATCAATAATAAAATATACGATTTTAACTTGGTGAAGCCCGCATTCATTTTCTGTGGCAATTTCATTTGTGAATGTGATCCATGTATGATATGGCACGCTGCCTACCCAAGAATTAATGCCTTAAAATCCTATGTCTAACCTGTGAGAGCGGCTGCTTCTTTCATTCATAGCAGTGGCACTGCTGGCCCTATTTTTTAGCCCAATGTCCATTAGGTCCATGACATCTGAAGTTGATTTCACAGGGAACAAGTTGGCATCAGGTACTGCTAAACCCTTATGTTGAGAGTGATTCGATATCCCAAGTGTGTGCAAATCAAGGAAAGCAAAGTCATGTATATAAGATACTTCATGTAAAACTTCTAGACAGGAGGAAAAAGAGTAGATTGTGATAAAAAAGGATATTTTTTCTGAGAACCATCAGATGATAGCAAATCTCGCACTTGTTCATTATATATCTCAACAATTTGAACTCCAATCTCATAGACTACGGAAGTCCTTCTATTCTCAGAAATGCTGAAGAGGTCATTTAGAGCTCGATAATTAACACCATAAGTCTCCTTTGTTACTCCATTTGGGCCACTCTGAAAATAATTGGCAATTTATGAAAATGAGAACTTCTTCATTTAGCAAGATGTATGAAATAAAATTAATATGCAAAGAGGGTTCACACCATTGTGTAAGTTTTGCCGGAACCAGTTTGCCCATATGCAAATATACATACATTATATCCATCAAGTACGGATCGTATAAAGGGCTGGATGTCAGAGTAGACCTCCACTGCATCATTAAGAGACGCAACATCAGCATCATTATGCCAACTTAATAACTTGATAAGAAGAAATTGGAATATGCATAATTTATGTAATGGGTCGACCATCCAAAACATAAGCCTTGACAGTAACGAGAATATAGCAATGAACCTTGAGTAGTGGCAGGACCAAAAACCCTATTGAATTTAAAAGATCGAAGGGCGTCTTTCCCTTGTTTGGATGGACTGGCCACAACCAAATCATTTTCACCAGCATGTTCTACAATAGACTTCTTTTCCTTTTGTCCAGGAAGAAATGGTCTGACTCGACAATAAACTCTGATGTTTCCTGTATCAGAGGAAAAAAAGACAGAGAAAAAAGTTTAGGATCAGTGAACAGTGCATCAACTTTGATAACCTGGTAGGTAAACACATGGAATGAAACCTTTTAATTCCTGGACTTCATTAAACAGTTTTCGATTTTCAGCAAGAACGGCATGATGGTTCTCAGCTGCCTTTACAAGTGGTTGAAGACTTAGCCCTGAACAAGTAAGAATTCAATGATCAAAGCCAATCCCCCAGAAAAAATGAATGGCATTGAAGAATAATTATAACATGAAGACCTACCTAACTTATTACATTCATCAGAGTAGACCCTATTCTCTTGCATGACATCTTGCTGGATAGATTTCCAAGATAGTTTCAAATTCTGGAAATTTGCAAATTCAGTAGAAAATTTAATATTTGATATCATAACGATAAATTTGACCTTAGCTGTACAAGCGTACCTGTACTGTACTGAATTGGAAATCCAAAGAATTATGAAGTTTGTTCTGTTTCATGTTCCACTTCTGACATTCTGACTCAAAAGAGGCCTCAACCTGTTTCATCTTATGTCTTATATCTTTCAACAAATGTTCATATTCTTGTGACTTATGTTCTATTTCTCCTTTAGCACCCTGAGCTTCTGTTTCCAACTGTGAACAGCGTAATTCATACATGCTTTTCATTGTTTCCATTTCTCGCTTCAACCTTGAAATCTCCATGTTTTTCTGGTCTTGCTCTTTCATCCTGTTAGCAACTTCCCCATTAGCCTTATTCATATCTTCCTCGTATGTGTTTTTCATTGTTTCCATTTCTCGCTTCAACCTTGAAATCTCCATGTTTTTCTGGTCTTGCTCTTTCATCAACCTATTGGCAACTTCCCCATTTGCCTTTTTCATATCTTCCTCATATGTGCTTTTTATAGTTTCCATTTCTTGCTTCAACCTTGAAATCTCCATGTTTTTCTGGTCTTGCTCTTTCATCAACCTATTAGTGACTTCCCCATTAGCCTTTTTCATATCTTCCTCATGTGTGCTTTTCATTATTTCCATTTGTTGCTTCAACCTTGAAATTTCCATATTCTTCTGGTCCTTCTCTTTCATCAACTTACTGACGTCACCCTCATATCTGCATTTCATTGTTTCCATTTCTTGCTTCACCATTGAAATTTCCATATTATTCTGATCTTGCTCTTCCATCAGCCTATTAGCATCTTCCTCATTTACCTTCATCCTATCTTCTTCATATCTATTTTCCATTGTTTCCATTTTTTTCTTCAACCTTGAAATTCCAATATTCTTTTGGTCTTGCTCTTTCATCACCTTACTAAAATCTTCCTCGTATCTGGTTTTCATTGTTTCCATTTCTTGCTTCAATCTTGAAATTTCCATATCTTTCTGATCTTGCTCTTCCATCAACCTACTAATATTTTCCTCGTCAGCCTTCTTATATTCCACTCTGGTCTTCTCAATCTGTATTAAGCGGCCAAAGAGCCTATAATACAGATAATATGAACATAATCCAACATAAACTTTGTTTTGTCCTCTCCAAAATCTCATCAATATTCATTATTTTGTAAAGAAAATGAGCATTACCTTCAACTGCTGAACCTGATTGGTAAAGACCTGTCAAAAAAAGTTCCCTCAGATGGCAGAAAATTTGCATCACAGCTAAAGCTCAAGAATTTAAATTTCCCCACTTACTATTTGTGTACATATACCTCACTCTCTTCCGTACTTCCAGATGCCAGCGCTTCAAGTACTTTGATTCTTGATTGATATTTATCTTCGCGAGCCTTAAAAAGATTGTTTTGCTGAAGGTACACAGATAGAAGATGATATAAAGAAACCGAGAATACTGAAAGTGGCTAGTTCTTTAAAGGACAAAATTTAGTTAAAAAATTCTTGCACATTCTCTAATAAAATTTTGCAGATTCCTAAGAAATTATGCCTAAATTAGACAGCTGCCTGTGAAAATAGTTGCAAATATAAAATAAGGCAAAAGGGGGGAAATGCAGATGAATCATGGAAGAAAACAAAAAGTACTAGCCTGAAGCAACCGATGGTTATCAATAGTTATTTTTTAAATATCCTATATATGTATGTAAATTCAAATAACATACAGTTCGTAAATGGTCTGCCTGTGTTGCAATTCGACGTTCAATCTCTTGCACAACTTTTCTCAACAAGCAAGCTACACGCTGAGCGACAAAGATACAGTCAGAAACTAATGCAACTTTTGTCTGTTGTTTGTGTTTGTGAAAACAATTTTTTAATGTGTATGCGATAGAAGTTATGTGCACATAACATGCTCCAAAAAATGCATTTTGAACATACTGGAGGTATTTCACCATTTCTTCTCTCAACACCTTCTTCTAGAATACCATTCACAACACTTAAAAGCGACTGAGTGGGAGCATTCTGCAACAAAAGATGCTGAAACAAATCAATGATGCATTGAACAGGAAAGAATATCCATTACAAAGACACGCTTCAGATTGTCTGAGGAAGACCATTAGAACTTACATCTAGAGTCTTTGATTTCATCATCTCTGAAATTTTTTCAGGAGGGAGATCCGCATAGCTTCCACGTTTCAGTTGAAACACATCGCGGAATGTTTGATCAACAGGATATGCAGCTGATGAATCTGCAGAAGATAAGATAGCAAGGACCTCAAATAAGCTTCAAGACAGAAACACCACCTAATTGATCAAGTGAATCAAAAAATGTAAAGCATGGAAATTGGCTCAAACATAAACATAGTAACACAATGAAGATCAAATGCTTTGTGAGTAATCAGATCAAGACAACAACACAATTTTTTTTTTTTTTAAACACCTGTGCTTCATAGATCCCAAACCAAAGTCATATTCTTATGTTGGATTATTATAATATCCACCCTTGATTGGGATTCAGATATTGTATTAAATTAAATAAGTATTTAATTTAATATCTGCTTAAAATAATGTTAACCAAATCAAGGATTAAATAAGGATTTAATCTTAAATAAATCCAATATATCTTATGGGCTAAGATATTATATTATATTAAGAGATTAGATTTATCATGATTTGTTTCCTCAATATAACTCAGCCACCCACACTATAAATAGTGCTAGCTGTGAACGGTAGAGACAAATAAGTTGAGTATTCATTCATATTCATTCAATTCCTCTCTCCCTCTATTTCTCTCTTGTGAGGTGCATCTGTAGTGCCTTATAAATAAGGCTTTAGTAGTCTTATTTCTTTGTGGGTTCTTGGTTTGATAACTCTACGCCGATCTGGTATGTTTTGAACTCATTTATTTGTTTATTTCCAACATTCGAATGCTTGCATACTGTCATAAAGAAGAATTTGTTTCTGATAGAGTAGAAATAAGTCATATTCTTCCACTTACAACACCATAGATTTTCTTGTTTTTTGGTTCTACATCATCCAGTAAGAAATATTTAAGCGTAAGTCAATTATCTCATGGGTATTTGTCCTCTAACTCTCTTTGAGCGCGCGCGCGCACACAGAGAGAGGATCTAGCAAACCTGCTAAAGCTGGGTTACTCAAAACATTTTGAATCTTGGAGTAATATGAAAGTCTCCTCTGTGCTTCAGCAGATTGAGAAGAAAAATGGACGCTGCAAGATGCATTTCCGCGAGAGCTCTTTAATTTGGAACTTTTTGAGGAAGTATTATCTCCCAAAGAATCTCTGGGTTCTGCAGTACTGCGGCTCTCTAATGAGGAACTCATTGTTAAGATCCTGGAGGAACATGCAGCTTCATATGTCTATGAATGCATGTTTTGAATACATTCCCATAGTATCACCAAATCAACTCTGAGAAGCTGAAATAAAACCATCCCAAGAAACATAGAAGTTAGAATCATCATATCGTATAAAGGTACTAAATTATGTTAAAGAGCATTATATTGCAGCCACCACTCACAAACCATCACGCTACGCCTCTTTCAAGAGGGAAGAGAATAAAGTATTAGCTTTTTGTTCTTATAGAAGCAAATAATCAAAAACCTTTCAGGCATGAGGCAAGAAAAGGTTCGGATACAAGCTTTTTGTTCTTATAGTTGAGAATTTATTCATACGTAAATTTCTTTACAGGTTACAGCAATAATATATACATATATCGCATGAAAATCAAATTTCAGGCTCGGAACATTTTGCATTGAAATCTCATTCGTTATAATTGGATTATAATATTCCACCAAACTAAGAGGGATAATGCAAGAGAAGATGAAGGTAAAATAACTCTAGCATTGATACGAATCATTATCATAAGTATATATAAATCACACACGAATCCCATAATTCCAACGTGGTACTCAAATCCCATATCTTGCAATTGGATCATACTACGTACTACAAGAAATCCAGAAGGCTCGAAGCTTGGAGTTCAAGAAAGCAACAAATTTAGGATACCATTACCTATTTATTCAAGCTTGAAGTCATTACAACACGCCGAAACTATACCAGAAGAGCAATATATCTATAAAGAAAACTATGAGAGCCAAAGAATGTGAAAATTACCGATCCGAAAATGCCAAGGCAAGCTTGTTGTTGACAATCTGAGAGAAGATTTAGAAAAGAGAGAAAAATCAACAGAAGAATGGTTATGAGATGATGCCACGTGGCACAGGCCCGAGAGCGACGATCCGTCTCATGTGCCTGTTGGTGATGAGTGAAATCTTAATCACTTCCGCTTCCGTAGGCGCTGAGATCTTTCCTCAACCTCTGATAATAAGACACAACAATGGCCAATGGCTGTTCATGACTCCACAACTTGTACGGACCTCTCATGTCAGAATGTTTAAATTCTTTTTTTCATATTTTATTATGAAGTCGAGTCTAGCTACGAGCCCATGCATGCAACGTGTCACGTGCCAACTATACCATATGTCATTATCTAAAGGGAAAATTTCAATTAAAGACTAAAGATATAACTTAATTATTGATGAGTCTCAAAAAATTTAAAACTTTAGTTTAGTCGGAGAGGATTGAAGTAAAAATAATTTTAACAGCAAAAAAATTAAAGTATCTTTCACTTATTAATTTTGTTCAAGATATAGAATCATTAGTTATTAATTTTATTACTTGACTTATTAATTTATCAATAATTATAAATTACATTAGCTTGGCAAACAAGCAACAACATCAATTGTAAATTTACTAATTTTACTTGTTAATTTATAAACATCAGTTATAAATTATTGAGTAATTTAACAAATAAAGTTAGCAAATTAACAACTGATGTTTGAGTCTTGTATGATTATTGAGAGGTCAAGTCATATAATTTATAACTCATATTGGTATATTAATAAATAAAATAAAAAAATTAATAATTAATAATTCTGCACATCGGACAAGATTAATAGGTAAAGGACATTTTGGCTTTTTTATTATTAAAATTATTTCTATTTCAATCCTCCTTAACTAATTGGAGTTTCAAATTTTTTTTGGGTCTACTAATAATTAAGTCACATCCTTGGTCCTTAGTTGAAATTCTCCCTTTTTTAAAAAAAATATTTACATTATTTTTAAATTATACTAATTAAAAATAATTCATTCTATATTTTCCATTTCATTCGTTATTCCTTTTTCATCTTATAGATTATGATTTTGCATGCCAAACATATCAAATGAAGAAAAGAATATAAAAACTTGTAAGTTTAAATTATGTTTGGTGATTTTTTTTTGTTTAAACAAAACATTTTGACTAATAATTGTTTGCAATGCACCATAGAGAAGCATGTTCTTGGATAATGTGATAAATCTAGCTTCTAAATCAACGGTGGGTTTTCAAGATCCTTTACTATAATTTCTTCATATGTGAGTGCTTAAAAATAAAGGAAATGAAGATGGAAAAAAGTGAGACTTGCATGGTAAGAGAAGATATGGTATTGATAATAATAAAAGAGAAATTACAACAAATCTAAGATAAAAAACAAAAAGAGATGCACCATAGCATTGTTACTATTGTTTTGCTAGAAACTGACACTCTGTTGAGGACTAAAGAATGTATAGCTTTTTTTTTTTAAGTGTGTGGTGCTTTAAGACAATTATGTTGAATTTGCTAAAAGATGAAGTGTCTGATTTGATTAAACCAAGTGTTGAAATGATTTAAATGTTTTTGAGTTGATTGAAATTGAAGTTGCTAAAGAGATTGAAGATACCTAATATGTGTGGCTTGTTATCCTTTTTATAGACATAAAATAATAGTTTTTTTTTTTTTGGCTCCGGGCTTTTTTTAAGGTCATTTGTAATAGTTTTTTTTTTTTGTGGCTTCGTGCTTTTTTAAGGTCATTAGCTGTAATTTTTCCTGAGTTCCCCTACTATTTCATTTCACAAAATGGTGCGCTAGTTGACTATATTTCTCTCATTAAATTATCCCACTTCTAAAAGTTTAGCTGGGCTTGAGCCAAAATTATTACTTTTAGTTTAAATAGTTAGGGTCATGACAAAAATTATTTTTAACCCGAACAATAATATAATATGCCAAAAAGATTTTGATAGAATACAATGAGATGGTGTAATTCATACGATAAAATCTTTGTCATTGTTGTTGAGTCGTTCCTTTCTTTCTTTCTTTCTCGGATAAAATGGAATGAGAAGCAGGGACACGAAAGAAGGCCTAGTTGGTAGGTGCTACAATGCCATCAAAGATATTTTCATATTAAATATTACTCTCGCTGGTTAAAAAATATATTTTTTAAAAGTTTAATATTTTAAATTTTTTGATGTATAATTATTATCTTTTTTTTAAAAGTATTTCTATTAATGAATGACTTTATATTTATTATAGAGTGTTTAATAGAGATAAATATAAAAAAATAAATTTAATTTAAAAATAGATAACAATCTTACTGGAAGTAAGATTCGATTAAAAATATTTTATATTTTTAAACGAAAAGAGTAACAAACAAATTTGTGGGATTATATTCCCTGTAATGATTGTTCATGTGATATCTACAGTTGTTCTCTTTTTTTGGAAAAAAAGATGCTCAATTTTTGAATAGTGATTAAAAAAATGTTCTATAAATTATCCCTTTGCTCACTTATAATTGAGGTTTTAAAAAAACTTTTTATTCCACTTTATTCATCATTTTATAATATTATTTAATTTCACACTTAATAAAGTAATCAATATACTCTCTCTATTAAAAAATATAAAGTATTTTTAATTGAATCTCACCCCTCAATAAAGTAGTTATCTATTTTACAACTAACTCTATTTTTTTATATTTACTTTCATTAAATACCCTATAATAAATATAAATTTATTATCAATAGGGGCATTTTTTTAAAAAAAAGCAATAATTACACCTCAAACGACTAAAAATACCTTATATTTTTTAACATCTAACTCCTCAAAAAATGTCTTATATTTTTTAATGAAGCGAGCATAATTTTAAACTTAAGAAGATTACTTGAAAATTGAGAGAGGGGGGTACAATAAAAATAATTTAAAGTAATATTATGAATTGATGGATTTTGATTTTGATTTGAATTTAAATCTTAGATTTAAAATGATCATATTTAAAATATGTGTATTTAAAATTCTTTTGTTTGGATAGTGTAAAAAATTTTAAAGATAAAAAATATATAGGCTGAGGTTCAAACAAAAACAAAAGATTAAGATTGACTCACTTATTTCTATTCTTCAATTAGTGAGAAAGGAGGACGAGAGATGAGAAAAGAGGTAAGAAAAATAGAAACCCTAATAATGAAAACGAAAAAAGATTTTTTGAAAAAAAAAGAAAGAAAGAAAGAAAGAAAGGGTCCAGCAACTGAAATTTCAAATAATTAAGGTTTGGAGAGAATTTTAAATTATAAAAAAGTTATAATAAAATATAAACATGAATTTAGATCAAATCATAATCCATAGAACCTTACTCGAGCTAATGTTTTGAACTTCAAATTTAAATTTTCATACATCCAAATATAGCAATTCACTTATAGAGCATCTTTCTGCCTTGCAAACTTATTGATGAGAACTTGCTTACTGTTCAATGTCAAGAAAATGGATGGGTTTGCTCACAATTTTTTTTTTTTCATTATGCAAGTATTTTCTTGTTAAAAATAATTCTGATTGAAATATTGTCAAATACTAAATGGGTTATTTGCTCAAACACATGTGAATTCGTCTATATGCCTGTTTGGATATGCTCCATAATCAATTCTACAAACCTAGAACCTTGGTTTTCGGAAAAAAAAATCAAAACAAAACAAACCTAATTTTTTACAAATCGATTTTAGTCTCACAGCTCCTATTTTGCATGAACATACTCCGACCTACTTTTGATTATTGGAGCCATTATGGTTTAGATTTTGTATCTTCACGAATCTACTCCAGTGGCTCACCAAAATGAGTTGTTATGATTCTGTCTCTCTTACGTGTGCTTCTTCTTCTTCTTCTTCTTCTTTTTTACTCTATTTGTATTTGATAAAACGATAGAAAAATCCCACCAAACATGCAAATCATAATGAAATTTTTTGAAATATCATAATTTTTTTAAGTTTTTGAAAAATTTTTTAACATTAATAATAAATTTTAATAAAATGATTAAAATACTCCCAGTTTAAAATAAAAAAGTAACAGCTCTAGTCTAAAAAAATTAAATATTAATAACTACTTTAATTTAAACAATGATTTTTTTTTTGACAATGCTACAATGGAACAAGTAATTATAAATTTTTCTGTGCAACATTTTTATTAACTAAAGTCTAAATGTTGTAAATATTTGTAACTACTTAAATTTAAATAATAACTAATTTTTTCCTAGCATTGACAAAAATGAAATGAGCAATCACAACTCTTCCAGTGCAAATATTTTATTTACTGTAGTTTGAGTGTTGTAAATATTTGTGACTATAGTTTAAGTTATGATTATTTTTTTAATAATGACTAAAATAAAATGAGTAATTACAACTCTTACTACATAAATTTTTGATTTACTAAAGTCCAAGTGTTATAAATATTTGTGACTACTTTATTTTGAATAATAACTATTTTTCTTGTATTGCAATGGAGGACGTGAAGTCTCATGTAGACGAGCATCTTAATAATATGATATCAAAATAGAATTAGACTTTAATGAATAAAAAATTTATGCTATGAAAGTTGTAATTGTTGGTTTTATTTTAGTAATTGTAAAAAAAATTCATTGCTTAAATTAAAATAGTTGTGCATATTTACAGCATTTAGACTTCAATTAATTAAAAATTTGTATAAGAGAAGTTGTAATTATTTATTCTATTTTAGTTATTATCAGAAGAGAACTAATTATTACTTAACCTAAAGTAGTTACTAATTTTTTTTAGAGCCAGGGCTATTACTTTCTTTATTTTAAACTAAGAATATTTTAGTTATTTTATAAAAAATTATTGATGTGAGAAAATCTTGAAGACTTAAGAACAATTAAGACATTTTGTGTAAACTAATTGTCATTTACATATTTCAAAGATTTTTCCATCATTTTCCTTTTATATTTTTATTTTATTCATTTATATTTATTTATGAACATTTTTTCTTTTGGTGCTTTTAGTTTTTTCCCCCTTCGTTTGAAAATTCAATGAAAATTGTCACCGTCATTTTATTTTTGTTATTTTGTTGTCTATTAATTGGATGTGGATTGTTGAAGTCCAAAAAGATGAAATGCTTGTTTTGGGTTAAAAATATTGGGATTTCAGCCCAAATGATAACGAAGCGTAGCCCAACCACTAAAAATGCCCAAATTGAACAAACACAAGAACCAGACGCATGCCCAATATACAGTGCGATCACAGATAGCCGAAAGCAGAGAGTGACAGAGAGACGAGCAGAAGAAGAATGGGAAGGAAGAAGGGGTACGAGGAATTCGATGAATCGCCGCCGGATGACTTTGATCCGGCGAATCCGTACAAGGACCCGGTGGCCATGCTGGAGATGAGAGAACACCTTGTGAGGGAGAAGTGGATCGACATTGAGAAGGCCAAGATTCTCAGAGAGAAGCTCCGATGGTGTTACCGCATTGAAGGTGTCAATCACCTGCAAAAGTGTCGCCACCTCGTCAACCAATACCTCGAAGCTACTCGTGGTATCGGCTGGGGCAAGGATGGCCGTCACCCCTCTCTTCACGGTCCGTTCCTGCATTTGCCCCTTTTTCTTTAAATTTCTTACGATTTGTGAAGGGAAATATTGTTGGAATCACAAGTGAATCTGTTTGAGCTTTTAGAAATTGCTATTTTTTTGGCTCGCTTTTCAAAATGATGTTTGTTAGTGTTAATTACGTTACGCTATTTTGTAGAACAGGGAAATGATTTTTTGGAATTGTTATTTATAGCAATTAATTGGCATTGCGTTATATCACTTTGAATTTTGCTTCTAATGAATTTGTGCTGGTATATGAGTAAAGTCGAGTAATCGAATGAAACAAACATTAAAGCAGACATTGTCTGCTTTTAAGTTTATAGTGTTTTAGCTTCTGCATTTCGGTATCCTGTTTCCTACGGTTTCTTTCTGGGTGCCCCAAAAAAAAAAAAAGCATGGTGAGAACGTTGGACTTACAAAGCTAAGCCCCTTCACCCGGCTTTTTCTTCCTCTTTCCTTTACAATACCTGAAGCTGTTTTGTTCCTTTTGGTTATATGATTCTATCTGATTTATCTCACTCATCTCTAATGAAAGATTAGGAAGAGAATCTGGACATTGTTAGCTGGTATTACAACAGAAAATGGTTTTGAAAAGAAACCAAAAAATAATTTTATTTTCTTTTTTCAAGTTGAATTTCCTGGACGTTTTATAAGCAAATTAAATTCTCTTCATAAAATTTCTGTTTTTGGATCTGTTTTGTTTTGAGTTTTGGTATGAGAAAAAGACTTGGAAAGTCTTTTCATGCTTTTGCCTACAATCTTATCGAGCATAATTGTCTTCTCTGTCCTTGGTTCTTTCTGATTAATCAGGTCCAAAGGTTGAGCCAGCTGAATCTGAATAACTATTGTGGGTAAATGAAAGGTAATTTATATGCCACCATTTATTTCTAGATTTGTTGCCCCTTTTCTTCTTTTCGCCTGAGTTGTTCTTTGCAGCTTTGTTGTCACTTACCAAATTCCTCTGAGCAATTGCTTTGAGAATGTGACAGGGAAAAGAGAGAGAGAAAAAATGTTCTGTTTTTGTTGGTGTAGGAACTGTTACATTGCACTTTTAGATTATTGTTTTGTCAAAACCTTTCATCCTTGTCCATAAATTGCTTGCAGTTGAGTGGAAATCTCATAAATATGCTCTTTGCCTTCCCATTGCTCAAATTAACCAATTTTGCTGCTGTGCAAAAGTTCTTATTCTTCATTCATCAAGTGATGTTAGCAAGTTTCCTGTTGCTGTAGAAACTGAGGCATCATATTAATGGCAAATCAAATTAAACCTTAAACATAATTAATAGTATATTTTTATGTCATGCAATAAACAGACTGGTGTTAAACTAGTGGAGGTATTGATTTACAGTTCACTGGTCTGACCATCAATGAGCAATTGATTATGTATATACACACATATTAACAATAGCAAAAAAATGCTAATTAATTTTAAACATTCAGTAATTGATTGTACAAAAACATTATCAATCATGAATAGGATGCCCAAGCAATCCAAATACGATGAAGAACCTGGCAAGATATATATATAACGTAAAATTTTCTTGTTACAATTTGTGTTTCCCATGGGAGTCTTCTCCGGAAGCTTGCAGCAACACATGCTTCCTCTTTCCATGTACATGTTCTTTTTCACCTAATTGATTTTTGAAAAATAAATAAGAACAGTTAAATATTTTCTAAAAAAAAATGTAAAAGTAGCACCAAAATAAGCACCATAATGAAGATCTTGACCTGTGAATGGCCACAACCAGGTCCACCAGTTGGAGACGACAATAAGCTCTGAAACTAAGAGAGCTTTCTGTGAATATGTAATAAGATGGCAAGCTGTTCTTGGATTGAAAGTTGTTACTGTCTGAAGTCGAGGTCTCCATTGAGTCAAAAAACAAAAACTCGAATGACTGAAAAAAAGAGGAAGAATTGGCTATTTTTTATTTTTGGGTAGGTTGGTTTGTGACTGAATTAAAATCATGGTGTCATGCAATTCACGTAACCTTCCTCACTTCGTGGGATAAAGTTTTGTCCTCTTGTTATTTTTCCATATTAGCTGGACTAAAACCATAGATGGATCCTGTGGTTTATATTTTTGAACTGTGGCTTTGTTCTTTAGTGCAATTGCCAAAACCGAAATTGTTGCAAAAGGAATGTGCAATCTAAATGATGCTACGATTTCAGAAGCGTGGGAGTGTAATTTGGCATGTTATGTAAAACGCTAAAATCAGTAAGAAACTGATGTGATGACATAAAAAAATGAAAATATATTGAACTTTGAAACAACAGGGAATGGAGGAAGAAGGATTTCTCTTGAATGTAAGGACTGATAGAATACTTTCTGATAAAATATATTTTTCTTACTCAAAGAATATAAGGACCCTGAATTTGCCTGTCAAATAGACTGCCTTTTTCATTTCTTAATTCTTCAGTGCAGCTGAGACACCGATTTCACTTTTCCCTTTTCAGTAGATGGGATCAGTTGAGAAAGGAAATTGTAATTGCTCCGTTAATAATGTTAACCTTTCTTCTTTTTTACAGCTCAAACCTGTCTGTATGAGCCCATATTTTGAATTATTGATTATAACAGAATAATTGAACTATTTTCCATGTCACTTGCCAACTTGTTTGCAGAGCTTATATTATCTATACAAATGGTTCAATTATAGTTTGTGTGTGAAGGAAACTGCGTTTTTGGTTCCTTTTGCAGTGAGTTTGATGACCCAACTGATCACATTTGCTTAAATTGGATACCAGGTGGAGGAGGAGTGCCAAAGTCCCAAAAAAGTTTACTTTTCTTTTCCCTTAGACTTGTGGTAAATCACAGCTTTGTTTGAACCACACCTTTGGTTCTCTTTGGCTGGACTGTTATTATTATTATTGTTGTTGTTGTTGTTGTTGTTTGGTAGCATCCAAATGTGAAAAAGTGTGGACAGGCTTGGAGAAGAATCAAGTTCATGAGGTTATGAAATAAGTTTCTTTCGGCCGCTGCATTTCAGTGTGCTTCATCAATAACAATAGACTGTAATCTAGATGCACTCTGGTTGATTCCCGATAAAGACCTGAAAACACCCCTTTTAAATTGCCTCACCAAATGTGTGTGTGTGTGTGTGTGTGTGTGTGTGTTGTTCATGCGTGTTCCGGCCTTCTTGTGTTGATGGATGAATCATTGTGATTTGTGAGACAGAGAATCAAATCCAATCAAATGCACCAACGGTTTTGATTTTGTTATCTTTGGCTGCATTTAATAACAGAAAATATAATTTTTTATCTTTATAACTTTATCAAGTTTTGCTTTTAATTCTTATAATTTTTTTTCAGTGTTTTCAATCCTTATAGGAATTAAAAATATTGAAAAAGTTAAAACATAGAGACTTGAAAAATGAAAGCCATCCAATCTTTTTGAAATTATAGGGCATGAAAACACTTGAAAAAATATAAGGATTAAAAATAAAATTTGATGAAATTATAAAAATTAATGATTGTGTTTTTTCATTTAATAATTAGAAAGGTACACGTGAGGGTCGCCTATAACAATTAGTGTAATGAAAATCAAGTATGATTTGCTCAAGTAGTACTCTATTAATTCTATTTATTTATAAGTTATTTTTAACATGTTTTATTGAGATCAATGAAAATTTTAATTCTCATTAATTTTATTTTGAAATTTAATACTTTCTTTGTTAAAAAATTTAAAGCATTTTTAATTAAATTTTATTTTTAAATTAATTATATTTTTTATATTTTTTTTATTAAATATCATTTAATAAATATAAAGTCATGTAAGGATATTTTAAAAAAAAAATAATGATTATACTTTAAAAGATTAAAAATGTTTTATATTTTTTAATATTCAACCTCTCAAAAAATATCTTATACTTTTTAATGAAGGGATTAAGTTATTACTTCTATTCTCCAAGAAAGATCCAAAAAAAGTTGCTTTAATTAATTTTTATTAGCATTTAATAAGGGTGAAACTATAAAAATTAATATAAAAATAATAAAATATTTTATAAATAGGATTAAAATTAGTATTCTGTTTTTATTTTATAAATAAGTTCACATAAGTATTTGATTGTATTTTGTTGGAAGAAAATGGTAGGAAGATTAATGTCACTATCACTTTCTTTGTTTGGTTGGTGTTTAATGTTAATGTATTTATTTTTTTTAAAAAAATAATTAGATACCAATCAAACAAGAGATAGGAGCAATTCCTTTCACCTTTCAAAAACTTTTAACCAAACATTTCAAGAGAGAGGTTGGGAGTCTCATAAATGTTGGAAAATTTGGAGGGGAGAGGAGCCAAAATTTACTCTCTCCTCCCCTTTTTTTATTTTCGCTCCTCTTAATTGGTGTTTTTTTTTTTAAAGGAAAGCCAAATTTTGTAATTAATTTATCCTTATTTTTTAAAAAATTCCATAAATGCCAACGGTAATCATGCTTTACTTTGCTTCTTCATTGTTGGTGAACCTGTCTCTCGTAGTGTATTTTCCCTTTGTGGTCGAACCCATCTCTCTGTTAAACCTTAATATTCACGAGAATGATGGTTAAATCCCAAACAATTGAATTAATCACAGTTAGATTTTAGATAAAAAAATTTAAAAATTAAATTATATATATCAATTTAAATAATTACGAACATAAATTCCTATTATAATTTAAAAATTATATTTAATATTTAAATACTTATTTGTAATTGAAATTCCTAAATTTGTAATTATCTATATAGATATTTTCAACTTATTTTTTAAAAAAATATCAAGAATTTTATTGTCCATTATTCAATATTCTAAGACCCAACTGTCATTCTTCCTACCTTCTTCCATCAAACATTGTCATTGCTGAACCCATTTGGATTATTTATCTGTTGAGTATTGCGACGTAATGGAAACCATCATAAATCAGTTATTCAAGGGAATAACTCTGCTCACAATAATACCATCAATGACATAACTAAGCTCCTTTTATTGTCTTCCATAGCCTGCGGGGAAGAAGATTGCTAAAGCTAAAACTCTGCAGAGGTACCGACTTAGGGCCGTGGGTATCAAGAATGATGGTATTATTTTATTGTTATTATTATATTATTCGAACAAGAAAGAACTAAAAATAAAAAGTTGATACACAATAATATAATATTAAATTAGTTATTATTTCTCCTCTCCTCCTCATCTTCTAAATTAAATAAAGAATTATTAAAAATTCTCTCTTTATCAAAGCCAAATAAGATAATACAAAACCCGTCCTCTCTTTTCCCTTAAATCAAATATAGTTTTAGAGTTTTTTTTGGAAGGGAGGATGAGAGGGAAAATATTTATTAATTAGATTATTTTTTTATTTTAATTTCATATGGTAACATAAATTATATCACTAATAAAATTTACTATGTAATTTTTTCAATGTATAAATTTTAATATTTTGTTGTTAGAGACTAATACATCACAATATTGATGTTTTTTTTAAATAAAGTTTATTAATTTAAGTTAAAAATATTCTCATCCTTGAAATGAGAAATTAATAATATAACTAATTTTCTGATAAAATATAAAAGAAAAAAAGTTAAAATTAACTTAAATTTGATAGACATGATATGATCAATTTATCACTAACCCCCGCCCCTTTTCATCTAATGAATTTAAACAAAGAATCATTAAGCCAGGTTTGGTACATTAGAATTTGGATTGGAAAAATGAGAATGAAACTCTGAATTTTGTTTATTTGGTGCATTGAAATCCAATTCTCCAAGGAATTCAATTTTATAAAAAATCATGAAATTCACTTCAATCATAGTTTCATAAGAATTCAATTCCATGCCTCTTGAATAAAAAATTTATCTCACTTTTACCACCGTACTAAATATATTTATTATTTTATTATTATTTTTAGTCTTATTAAAAACTCTTCTCTTTTATCAGACCGGGCATAACTTTCGTCCCTTTCTCTCTTCTTTATCAGCCCACTAAACTCCTTTTTGTTTTTTCTTTCTTTCTTCACACGGCCTGACCTCCCAAGGGATTGACTGGATTCATTATTTTTATATTTTATGCTGAAACAAAGCATTAAATAAAGAAGTAAAAAAATATATTGAAGAGATTGTTGGCGGATGGTTGACAACAACTGCGCCAGATCATGTTTCTCAACTAATCATGTTGTCAGATTTTTTTGGGCGGGAAAAGATGACGTGTAAGAGAAGGTTATTATTGATATTATATTTACCTTTTTCATAAGACGACATTTATATGAACAAAAAAATAAGTGTATTGAAGAGAGCAGCTTTATCCCTAGTAGGAGAGAAAAGCTAGTGGAAGACGTTAGGAAAAAAATAATATTTTTCCTTGCTTGATTATTTTAAAAACAAAGTAAAGGAGAGAAAAATATCATATAACATCCACAGCTTTTTATCTCTAATTTTTCTTTTTAAATATGAAAAAATTTTAGAAAGAAAATTTTATTTTTAAATTTACCTACTAATTTTTAAATTTTATAATGGCTAAAATGTATAAAACTCTCCTAAATTTTGAGGCAGTTTTACATGACCCTTCTCACCTTTCAACATTTGAACTTAACTCTTCTAACTTTTTTAATTTTGTTTTTCAAAACTCTTAACTAATGTTTTCATAACTGAATCGGATATTGAATTGAGAAAATCAGCAACTCACAGTTTGTATAGTTCAACAAAGTTGGATCAATAATCAAACTAGTGACATAGTAATTAAATTAAAAATTATATATATATATAATAATTTAAATATAAAAAATAAATATAAAATTGTTACTTAATTTAAAAATAAAATTAAATATTTTAATGTAACTTAGGTGGTACATGACATGAAAAAATATTTTTTTATTTTTAACATAATTTAAAAAGGCGTAAAATTGTAATTTTTATTTTTAACACACATGATGATACTTTTATTTTTTTAGTTGAGCGATATTGTTCTCATTATTCATAGAAAATAAAATTTAAGAGAAAAATTATAGTTTTATTATTTTTATCAATTAAAATAGCATGTTATATTAAATAAATGAAAAAAATATCTACAAAGCTACCATCCATAGGAGTTTTGTAAATTTTGTTATCTGCTTTGTTTTTTTTTTCCACACTCTTATTTGTTTTGTAGTTGTTATTTTTTTTTCCTTTGAATGAAGTTTTCAATACTTATTCAAACAAAAAAAAATTATTGATATGTTACAAACAAAATGTGTAAAGCTTTAGAACAAGGTGTATTTTTTATTATTGCTGTTTTGTATCAATTTTGTTAAAAAAAGAAACTTGTAAAATATCATGGGATAAATTTTTAATTTATATGAATATTGTCAATAATAGCTTTTGGAAAATTTTATTTTCATTTATTTAATATAAAATTCTATTTTAATTGGGAAAAAGTAATAAAATTATAATTTTTCTGTTAAATTATGTTATGAATAATGAGAACAATGCTACTCAACTAAAAAAAATAAAGGCATCATCATGTGTATTAAAAGTGAAAATTATAACTTTGTCCTTCCTTAAATTTTGTTAAAAAATAATAAAAATATTTTTTCACATCATGTGTCATGTGTATTGCATTAATTTGACATAATAGGAACTATATTAATAAAATAACAGTTAATTTATAAATAAGGAGTTTTAAAAAACAAAAGTAAAGGATAATAGGGTTAATTTTAAATGTTTAAAGGTGAGGAAGATCACATGCAACTGTCTCAAAGTTCATAGAAGTTTTATACATTGTAGTCTTTTATATTCGTAGAGTAGTTATATTTTGATTGTGAACTTTTATTAAACAAGCAGTATATTTAATTTTTAGATTAATTAGAAAAATATTAATTATAAATTTTCAGTTAAATTCCTTATATTTGACTATAGTTTTAAAATTTTAGTATTATTATATATTTGATAATTTAATAAATATAATTATAAATTGGATAAAATAATTTGTAATTATGTTTTAACTCAATCAACAATATATGATATAAATTATTATATATAATATGTTAAAATATTAAATTTTATTAAATATAAATATTTTTATAAATAATAAAATTATTATTGTTTATATAAAATTAATAACATTTCTCTCTTTCCTATTTTCTATTGCTCAACCTAGCACGATGGAAAAAAAATGCATCCCTCCATTTTTTCTTCTCTTCATCTGTTCTCCTCTCATTTTCTCTCTTACTTATTTTTCCTCGCAAGCCGATTGTAGTATAAAAATAAAATATTAATTAAAATTGACATAAGCCTTAAGAGCTCCCGTAATTTGAATAAATATCAGGAGTTTGAATCCCAACTTTATGAAGGTGGTAATCTAGTTGAGTGTTATAAAATGTAAAGATTTTTTAATGTTTTAATATATAATTAATGCATTTGTTTTTTCAATGAATTTATTCTTATTAAATACATTAGTTTTATGAACTTATTTTCTCTCACACATAATCTCTTACATTATTCATGAAAAATTATGAAAATATAAAATTGAAAAAATTAATTAATAATGAATCTTTCTATGTATAATAATTTATAAAAAAGACTATAATTAATCAAATGACACTTGGTGTAATTGATTAAGAGAGTTAAATTAGCTTATCCATAAATTTTTAGATTGAGTATTAGAATATGTAATCAAATTAACATAATAGGTGATGAATACCATAAGTTTTACAGGACACTGTCGAATGGAATATAAAAAAACTATTACATTTTTTTAAAAATAATTTTTATACAGGACTTGGATTTCTTTCTTTGTGTGTTTTTTTTTTTTTTTTTGGTTTCTGGGCCAACAATTTTGCACTTTTCTGAAACGACCTCCGCTGAGGAACCAGCCACTAACCTTCGTCGCAAAAGCCTAAACTAACTCCGCGCCAACTTTTAGGCGCTGAGTTATCGGATAGGGTGGCCACCCATACCGCTTGCGTCACTCCTCGCATCGTCACCGTCCATCAACTTTGAAATTCCCGCCCTCTTATCTGATTGGCTTGTCCACGATAAGCAATTTACGGCACATCCAGAAACAGCCGATGTTTCGTCATACTGACACGCGTCACCATCTGGAGCGTTCTTCTCTCCGGGACCCACATCTCGAGCTTTATGTTTTTACAACCTCACCCTTATTCCCATTTATTCTTACAGAAGACCTGAACATGCGCGCGACGACGGGGAGCCATCGTGTGATTCTTCGTTCTTTCACTGCCTTCTCTCGTCGCCGGCGTTTTCTTCGTTTCTTCGGTTACCGGAATCTAGGGTTCCGACTATGAATGGGTTATACTTGAAGTGGTGTGTATTGACTTTTGTGAGCAATCACGCTAGCTCACCGCTTCAGCCTCAGACTACTTTAATGAACAAAGAATAACATCCCGTACTTTCCCACCATTTAAAAGTTGCTTTTAATCTTCACCTTTTTTTTTGGGGCTGCGCCTTTTTTCTCTGGCTCTGGCTAGAGTGGCCGGAAACGATGTCGTTCTTAAAACGCAGAAAGGGCCCTGCGAATTTCATACATGATTCTGACCAAGATGGCGATAAGAGGGAGAAGGAGAATGAGAAAGAAAAAGAGAAAATTAAGAGAAAGGGGAAAGAAATCAAGAAGACAAAGAAATGGACTTGTGTTGATACTTGTTGTTGGTTCGTCGGTTTTATTTGCTCACTTTGGTGGTTTCTGCTGTTTCTGTATAATGCTATGCCGGCCTCGATTCCACAGTATGTAGCGGAGGCGATTGGAGGGCCATTGCCGGATCCGCCCGGCGTGAAATTGAGGAAGGAGGGCTTGATGGTGAAGCACCCCGTGGTTTTCGTGCCTGGCATTGTGACGGGAGGATTAGAACTTTGGGAGGGTCGTCAGTGTGCGGAAGGATTGTTCAGAAAGAGAATGTGGGGTGGCTATTTCGGAGAGATATATAAGAGGTACTGAAATTTTTACGCTTCTTTCTTTTTTAATTCCCGAAAGCTACTTTTCCAGTTTAAATTATGAATTCGTTGTCGCGTGTATTAATCTTGAAAAGCTTCTAGTGGGTGGTTTCCTCGATGCGAAAAGCTATATTTATACCTGATCCATGTTGATCTGGAAGTAAAAAGAGCAGTTCACGACAAGTGATAAATTTGTTTTGAATTTTTATTGACCTAACAAGAATGGGAAATGCGTTTAGGGAGTAACTTTGACTGACTCAAATCAAAGTAACGTGTAAAAGAAAAGTGACTTCAACTGAGGGTCTCCGAAATTTTCCTTCACTGTTCTGGAATAGGTTGTTAGTAAAACTCTGTAACATATAACCCTATAAGAGATAACAGAGATTAGATGCTAAAGACTCTTAATGCCAATGTCACAAAAATTACAATTTATTGTTATCTGTTGAGCATGCTTGAATGACACCTTACACAGGCTTTGAAAATAGAATAATATTCTTGTTGTGACATGCTCATCATTTGGTCGAATTATTGTATGTCCTGTCCTTCATGCCTTTGATTGAGACTTAGGAAACTTATGGAGATGTCCCACTGTCTTGAAAGATTACAGGAATTTAATTAAATGTGTCAAATTTTTATAAATATGTCCATGTGTCCAATATTTATCTTACTGCGTATTTGACTGTATATTTCTCTCAGAAATTCATACTTGCTTCAAATTCCTGTTTTATCATGATTTGATAGCATTTACAACATTTGTCATGCTATATTGTAATTCACTCTTTAATTTCTGCAATCTGCAGACCTTTATGCTGGGTTGAACACATGTCATTAGATAATGAAACAGGACTAGATCATCCAGACATAAGAGTTAGGCCTGTATCCGGACTTGTAGCAGCTGATTATTTTGCACCAGGTTATTTTGTCTGGGCTGTTTTAATAGCTAATTTAGCTCGCATTGGTTATGAGGAGAAAAGCATGTATATGGCTGCATATGATTGGAGAATCTCATTTCAGAATACAGAGGTAATTTGATTTTAATCAGTATAGCTTATTGTGTCTACTTTACGGACCTCTTTCCTGTTGATAGAATTACATGGTTTTATCATTTTCTGTTTAATCTGACCAGGTCAGAGATCAAACTTTGAGCAGAATGAAAAGTAATATAGAACTCATGGTGGCTACTAATAATGGTAAAAAAGTGGTTGTTATTCCACATTCAATGGGTGTTCTATACTTCCTTCATTTTATGAAATGGGTTGAGGCACCAGCACCAATGGGTGGAGGAGGTGGATCAGATTGGTGTGCCAAGCATATAAAAGCAGTCATGAACATTGGGGGACCCTTTCTTGGTGTTCCAAAATCAGTTGCTGGACTTTTCTCCATAGAAGGCAGGGATATAGCTCTTGCCAGGTTCTTGTTTTAACTACTATAATGTGAATTCTTGATCCTATATTTCCTTTTTCTAATATTAAAACAATGTTTTTTTTGGGATAAGTAGGTTTGAAATGCTCTCAACAAAATATAAATATTATCGAATCATAGGAAATGTTTGTGTAAATTTTACTTTTTCTTCTGAAATGGCGATGAGTTGTGCAAGGAGTAATATGCATGAGATGGGCACGTCACCATTGGAGGGTGCCTTTTTTTGGCCAATGGTTCTTGAAAGTTTTAAAGTTCGATAAAAAATTCACTGTGATAATTCAATTTTACATATATCTGGGCAGAAACTTTATGCAAACATATAATCTTACTTAATCTACAAAATTTTATCACATACGTCTAAAAACTATAAAAAGACTGTTGTTTTTGTTCCTCCAAAAAATGTAATGCCGTTGATCAGTCTCTCAAAATCTCTGAAATTGTGTATTGTTGACATATGGTGACTTTAATAACTTTTTCTATTGATATTCATGTCAGAAGAATGTTTATAAAGTTTTCTTATTGATGATAAAATTATGGATCAATGAAGCAATCCCTGCAGATATTTGCTTTAACTTTTTTTCCCCCTTTGCATTGCACTCTTTTTAACTTTAAATGCCTTTTCTCTTGAATAAAGTTATTCACGAGTAGGAAACCAGTTGCTTGAACACCTAATATCTTAATGCCTTCCCTCATTTGCTAGAACACCTTAAATTGATTCCTCTGTAATGAAAATCCAAAAACATGGTTATCATTCTTTTGGCAGTTAATGAACTGCTAATGCTTTACAGGGCTATGGCACCAGGCTTTTTGGATAAGGATGTTTTTGGACTTCACACCCTACAACATTTAATGCGGATGACCCGGACATGGGATTCAACTATGTCAATGATACCGAAAGGTGGAGACACCATATGGGGTGGCCTTGATTGGTCTCCTGAGGGTTACTTTGACTGCAGTGCAAAGAAGCAGAAGAATAATGTTACACATAATTCAATTCAAAATGGCCAAGAACGCCTTGGGCAAGCAAAAAATGTGAATTATGGAAGAATTATATCATTTGGGAAGGATGTGGCTGAGTTACATTCCTCCAGGCTTGAGAGGTTGGATTTTAAGGTAATGTCTCTATTATATAAATTTTATTATTTTGTTTATCATCTCTTGAACCGGCTACTTTTTTTCCCCCAAATTATTGTGTAATATAGTATCTGCGGTCTGTGCTGGACATAGACAAATAATTTTCCAAATGTGTGCTTCTATATTAACTTAGTTATATAACTGTAAGTGTTAATTTCTATCTTGAATTGTATATCTGGAAATCAGTTCATGGTGATCACCATTGCAAAGCTACTGTTCTCTCAAGGTATTCTGACATTGAATACTGATTTTCTAACATTGAATGGAAGCAATATAGTTTCAGTTTGTGATCATATAGTTGTCCTCAAGCTTGATCTACTTTCAAGCAGAATTTTCAATGCAATGCTTGGACATTGACATTTAAATAGCGGCCTGTAGTTGTATATTGATGTTCTGAAATTGTGGATACTTGCCTGGTACCCACATGCTCATGGGATCATTTGCTTTGACTTTTGTGACAGCATTGTCTTAATTTTTATCTTTGTTGTAATTGAAGGGTGTAGACAAGGGTAGAAACCTTGCAAACTCATCCCACTGTGATTCCTGGACAGAATACCATGAAATGGGTGTTGAGGGAATCAAAGCTGTATCAGATTACAAGGCATACACAGCTGATGATATTATTGATCTGCTCAAGTTTGTTGCTCCAAAGATGATGAAGCGTGGAAATGCACATTTTTCACATGGGATTGCTGACAATTTGGATGATCCAAAATACAAACATTATAAATATTGGTCCAATCCCTTAGAAACAACGTAAGATTTTTTTTTTTAATGAAAGAAAGAAAACATTGTAATTTCTTTTTCCTCAAACTAAAGGTTTTCATGAACAAATTGTATATACTGTTTGAAGCAAATACACTTGTTTAAATCTGGCAGGTAAAGAATTCCACTATTGTAATATGCTTGACTGCTACATGGTCTTTTTACCTAGATTGATGACCCCAATGTATTGCTGCTTTTTTCTTCATCCAAGTCTTACCATTTTTATTGGATTTTGTTTATTATATGCTATCCTGATATAATAATATAAATGAAAATTTCTTTTTTCCCCTGCTCTTTCTGATTGTAGTCAGTGTTCCTTTCAACTTTCTTTGCTGATGCTGCAGATTACCAAATGCTCCAGATATGGAGATCTATTCAATGTATGGAGTTGGGATTCCTACAGAAAGGGCATATGTCTACAAGTTAACTGCTCCATCTGAATGCTACATTCCCTTTCAGATCGACACATCGGCAGATGGTGGAGATGGCTCTTGTCTGAGGAATGGAGTTTATTCTGTAAATGGAGATGAAACTGTTCCTGTCTTAAGTGCTGGTTTCATGTGTGCGAAAGGTTGGCGGGGAAGAACCAGGTTCAATCCTTCGGGAATCCGAACTTACATAAGGGAGTACGATCATGCCCCTCCAGCTAATCTTCTAGAGGGTCGGGGAACCCAGAGTGGCAATCATGTTGACATATTGGGGAACTTTGCATTAATTGAAGATATTATAAGAGTAGCAGCTGGAGCCACTGGCGAGGACTTAGGTGGAGATAGAGTCTACTCAGAGATCTTTGAATATTCTGAAAAGATCAACTTGAAGCTCTAGATTCACATTGTGAGTTATTCCCTGGACTTTCTGGCACTTAATTTTAAGCCATCAACTTGAAGCTCTAGATTCAACTCCTCTGGCATTAATGACATGATTTAGATGACAAATCCATGTTAAAACTTAAAATCAGATTGTTATTCTAATTTTAATATCTTGTGATACAAAGTATGCTGTTTTTCTCCGTAGCATGATCGTTATTTCGAACTGACATTCAACTTTGAATGTGTTCTATGCCTGATCCATCTCTAGCAAATATTTGGCTGAAGCCTGCTATTCAGAGTCTTTGGTTAAACTGGTTTTGTTGGCCTCTTTTTCAGTAGTTTTGCATGTCTATGAAATTATTCTGATTGGGTAGTAGCGATTAACCTCGTCACCAAAGGTTGCCGCATTGGTCATCCATTCCATGATATTTTCTATAATGCTTGTAATTTGATTAATAGGACTGGATAGTTTCAATTAACTTTGTTTATGGGGACAATATTAGTAGTGCTCATTCTTTAACGAGAAAAGCACGTGATCTTGAGAGAACTTATGTATTTTTTATCATTCCCCACCTTGTTTATCAAGAGGAGGTGAATGATGACTGATTAGTCTCTCCTTGGTGGGCTGTTGTATCTGTTCATTTTCATCTTTATGAATGCATTTCAGTTTGATTTTTAAAAAATAATATATATTCTTAGGGCTCATACGGATCTATTCATAATTTTTATCTGTCTACATTTATTTTTGTATCATTTGCTTCTTTTTTATTCCTCTGAAGATTTTTTATTTTTGGGCTTTTCATTATTACACAGGAGGCCACAATCAAACTTGCTTCTATTTGAGAAGGAGCTGGTGTTATGGGCTACATAGGTGAGAAAGGCAGAGCCTGCTTTAGCCTGTCATTATTCTCTTAGGAAATGCTGAGTCAGTTTTTACTGGAAAGATCAGCCAAAAAAAGTAAAAAGAAAAAGTGATCAAGCTCCAAGTTTGATTATTACATGTAGATTTGGATGACAAGATTTTTGTTAACTCTATTGTTTCCTTATTTTTTTCCCATTTCTGTCAATAGTATTATGATTATGATGGTGGCTTGTATCAGCTCAGTTGAATGACTCTTTCCACATGAAATGCATTTTTGTTCTTATAATTTGGCGAAACTAATGGTTGTAATAATATAATTAAATGTATTTTTTAACTTTCAATTGGAAATGATATTTAAAATATATAGATCAATATGAATAGATATTTTTAAAGTTATTTTGTAATTTCAATAAAGAATTAGAAGGGGTGTGTCCATGTGTGTCTCAGTTTTCAAATTGTAAATTTCCAATTTTCGTCACAAAGATAATTTCGTATAATAAAAAATAAAAAATTGTGGTCTTCATCCGAATTCCGATCTTTATTTTTTTATAATAAAAACACCAAAACAGAAATTGATTAATATTTTAAAAGGATTAAATAAAACATGAATAATGTAAATCTATTTTAAGTTATCAGGCAATCCCATCCAGTTTGGATTGAAGTATGATTATTAAATAAAATACAAACAAACAAAAATAAGACCACAAAGAATTTAAAACAAAAAAACAAAAACAGTACACCACTAAAGACAAAAACACCATAAAAGCATTTGCACAACTGAAACAACCACGAATTTATCTAATCGGCTCCAAGTCAAATTCCAAACAATTCCCCAATGTGAACTTATTTTGTTTTTATCTTTCTCACTTTTATTTGCTTTGTGATAAAGAATGAATAGATGATTATATTTTGCCAATCTAATCTCATTTGTTTAACTTTGGGACAACCGACATTCTCGTACAAACCTATTTCTTAATCTTTTTATTTAACTTTGTTAGAGATTCCTTCCCATCTGTTCCTTGGTGTCGCTCTTATCCTCACCCATTTTTTTTTTTTTAACTTTACAATTTCTATATTTAATGGAAGAATCTGGCTCGTCTATTACACAAAATAAGGAATAAGGAATGTAAAATAAAATAATCTTTTAGTCAGGGTTAATATGCAATTTAAATTTTAAATTATAAGTTCAGAAATGATTTGAACTGAACTATTATTTAGTATATTTTAAATTTTAAATAATTAAATTGGTGCAATTTTACCTCCTATTAAATTAAAGCAAACGCCTGTTATTTTTTTTTTTAAAAAAATAGGCTTAATGTACTAACTAAGAGCTTAACATTCAAATTGTTCCTAAACTTATAATTCAGAATCTAAATTGCATATTAACTCTTTAGTCTAATTAGTAATTATCTAGTATATAGCAATATTTGTTTAAATTTGAGTATTATCTATTCAAATTAATTGTGATAAAATTAAAATTTTGTTGCAATAAAAAAAATTCTATTTTTTATTTACCAAATTGAATTATTTAAAATATATCTAAACATAAATTCTGTCACAATACCTAATTTTTATTTAACAAACTGATTTTTTGGCAAATAAATTTTTAATAAACAGACTTTTAAAAAACTAAAAATCAAATACACATTAAGACTAAGATGATGTTTCTGTTCATGCTTCTCTTACAATAATAAAATATTCTCGGTATATTTTATAATAATTATACATAAACCGAGTTAAAACTTCTATTAGTCTTTTTCAATCATAAAAGTCCATTCATGTCGACCTCCACTAAATGTAAAAGTGTTCAATATTTAAGAAAACATTAAAATAAGTTGTCAACTAAATTAATCAAATTGATAAGAATTGGTCTCACTTCTCATGAAAATTTCATATTAAATGTTACGACAATTATAATTAATCCAAGTTAAAGATGCCATTTTCTTTTTTTGAATCATGAAAGTGAATTCACATACACCTCCACTAAAAGCAAAAGGGTTAAATATTTGAAACAAATTATAAAGATATCTTGGCAAATAGCAATCCTATTATGATAAGACTTGATAAACTAATCTAAAGCATTGGATTATTCCACATGGGATAAGCTTGATGCGCTATTAAATTACCAAGTGCTATCCAATACGAACACTTTACATCATTAGCTTGAAGAAAAAAATTATAATAATTTATCAACGAAATTAATCAAGACGATAGTAAGGATCGGTCTTTTATCTCATAAAACCTGAATCCAACTTCTATTATGGGCAGATTGTAGATATCTTTATCACTAATTTAAAAAAAAATCATTTCAGTTTATTGAAATTTTTATGAGAGAATTACATATAGGTTTCAAATAAGAACATTAATTTCTTACAAATCTCATCTACATGTATATATTGAAGTTTAATATTCCTTTTATAAAGCATTTTTAACTAAATTTTACCTCAATAAAGTAATTATCTGTCTTCAAACTAACATCATTTTTTATATTCATCTTTATTTAATAAGGTGTTTTATTCCAAAAACAAATATAAAATAATATGTTTAATTACGTGCACTTATAAAAAAAATGCAATAATTACACCTTCAAATACCAAAAATACCTTATATCTTTTAACATATAACATTTAAAAAAATACTTTATATTTTTAAATGGAGAGAATATGTAAATAAAGAAGTTTGACTTGTAAATGAATAAAAAAATATTATTTATTTATTTGGGGCCTAGTTGTTGTTCTTCCAATTTTCATAATAATAATAATATTTATCAACAAAGATTGATCTAGTTTGAAATTATTAGGTTCATAATTTTATTTAAAATAAAAATAATGGGTTTGATTCTATTTTTTCAATCACAATTTTTATTTCATAAATTATAAAAATTAAATAAAAAATCATAATTTCATAAATTATAAAAATTAAATAAAAAATCATAACTTTGCATGTAAAAGTTCTTTTATGATTGATAAATAAGTTTTGAAAATGACCAATCTTAATCACAACTTTTATTTAATCAATTACAACTTTAATTCTGTGAATTATAAAAATTAAAGAAAAAAATCATAATTTATCACATGAAATTTCTTTTATTATTGAAGTCTAAACTTTAAAAATAATTAATCATAACTTTTATTATGTAAATCATAAAAATAAATAAAAAATTACAACTTTCTATATAAAATTTTTTTATTATTGAAATTCAAGTTTTGAAAATAATCAGTTATAACTTTTGTTTAAGTAATCATAATTTTCTTTTATAAATTGTCATAATTGAATAAAAAATTATAACTTTTAGTGTAAGCCTATTATTTTTATTTTAAACAAAAAATAATTTAATTATTTAATTTAAAATTATTAATATAAAAAAGGTACTTAAAAATTTTATAAGAATTATAACATTTGGAGGAATTTAATTATTATTTATATATTTTGATAAAATTTTATTATTATTTTTTTAATTTAAAATAATATTTTGTTTAAAAAAGGTAAGGAGGCTCTTTTAGACTTTGGTCATCCAAATTTTTCACATTTGTCATTTGTTATGGTTTGAGATTCCAAGGACAACCACAAGAATATAATATAACATAATTAATGACAAAAGCTAGGGTGAATTAAACATTTGGCATGATTCTCCGCCACGTGTCACACACAAAGACGAAGAGGAAGGTGGCGGGACATTTTCGGAATTAAAGCAGCTAATATGGTTAAATTGTAAGAAACTCAAGACATGGTTTTATCCGAGACCCGCATGGACTGCACTCAAGTCGTGTTAGAGTCGCGTGTAAAAGTTATTCCGTGGAAGAGACAAATCCGACGGTGAATAACGCGAGTTGAGTATGTTTGAACATCACGCGGAGGATCTGAAGCTGGGTAAGGAGTGAACAGTCAAGGGCGGCTGAGCAGAGTGAAGAAAGCGAAGGCTCCAGACCCAAGGGGCAAGGGTTGAGGAAGGTTGTATGTGGGCCCAATAGAAAAAGACGTTCAATAAAAAGAATTAATTGCCAACAATTTTCGCACATTGATTTTTCAATGATTTTTTAAACAATTTTTTGATATAAATGTTGATTTATATTTTATTATATCAGAAGAACTTTATAAGAAATAAAAACAAAAATTTATATTTTTTAAAAGTATAATTGCATATTTTTAAGAACTTAAATTATATTAATGACCAAAAAAATTAATTTACATAAATTAAAATATGTAATGTTTGTTATATTATATCATTATTATTTATTTTTATTATTTTTAATATATAAATTTTTAGTAATACTTTCACAACAATATCTGTCAACCTTGGCACGTTAATTGTGCTGAAGACGTTTGCTTGCTTTCTTTTTTTAAAAAAAAGTCGAGAAAAAAAAAAAAAATAAAGCAATACTATAAGCTTTTAAGTCATGAAAAATTTAGAAAGAATCCAGGTGGATGAGAGAAAGAGTGAGAAAGAGGTGGTGACAATGGTGGACCTGCAGCTGGTGGGTTTTGTGTGATCTCCTCATTGGCAGTATTTATAGGCAGAGTGAGTAAGTGTGTTTCAGCAGACCCAAAGATCAAAAGCGCGAGACTCATCAGACAGAGAGAGAGAGAGAGAGAGAGAGACAAGAGAGAAAACTTCTGCGTGTGAGTGAGAGAGAAAGAGAGATTGGCTTTGGGTGTGGTGAGGGTTTCAACGGAGGAGACATGCCCGAGTTCAACCCAGCAGCTCTATTTCTTGCTTCTTCATACCACCACTAAGCAGATCCCAAAGGTATCTCTCTTCTCTCTCTCTTGTTCATTCTGCCTCGTATCATATCCCCTTCCCACACTGTTCACCTTTTCCATTGCTTCATGACCTCTTCTCTTTTATTCCTCCCTTTTTATCTCTTTTACTTTTTGTTTATTTTTTCTTAGTATTTTTTTTCTTTCTCTTTCTTTTACATGCATTGTGGGAGTCTGTACTTTGTCTTTTTCTCTCTTCTCCAGTTATTTATGAACAACATACATGTGATCCGAGGAGTTAGGCTTATTATGATTGCTCTTTACTGTTTGCATGTGAAGCTTGAGGTCAGCTGATGTTGTTTAGGTGTCTGAGAATTTTTAGTATTAAGGTACAGTTTTACTGTTGTTCTGTTGATCTTCTCTTCTCATTCAGTTGTGGTCATTCTGTGAGTAAGAAAGGATTTTGATCTGCCATTTCTGAGTTTTTCGTTTCTTTTCATGTTTCTTTCCCTTGTTAGGGTATTCTGCTTCTCTGATGATCTTATGATTAGAACTATGTTTGACTTTATGGTCAATCCTTGCATTTTGAGTTTTGGGATTTATTGGTCTCAGATTGCTTTGCTGCCATGAAGCCACAATATCCAGACAATTTTGCAATATTATCATAGAGTTTTATGTCATATACAGAATTCTTATACCGTACATTGCCTCTTAAGGGCACGTCTTTCTATTTTAGTCTCCTTGTTAATTTCTGAATGATAAAAGAAGGAAACTTGTTAAAATTTGTTCTTGAACTCTTTTGAATGCCAGTTCATGACTGGAGAATTGGTTCCTTCTATTTACCACAATTAGAAATGTAGATAATCTTCTGGGTCATAAATTTATTTCAATTCTGGTACAATAACTATATGCCCTCCCTAAGAATACGTCTTTGAGCAGATTTCATTGTTTGTCTGATTTTTTAATGATATGATCTTTTTGTAGAACTTGATTGAAGGCTTTAAGAATTAAAAAGCTGTAACACTGTTTTTAATGACATGGTAAGTAATACCTCATCCTGAAAAGCCTTTGTTTTGTTTAATATCTTCTAATGTTGCTATATTTTACACTCTAATTTTCAACATTTTCTATCTTCTTGGAATTAGAATCAACTTGATGTAATCTTTTGTACACTGGTAAAAAGCCTAGCACAACATTAATTAGTGGCAATCATTTTGATAACAGTTATGAAAGTGAAAATAATAGGTGCTAATTTTGCAGTCCTATGGCTTGTGATTAATCAGTTTTATTAATAATCATTTTAATCAACGTCAAACTTATATTATAATATATGGTTTAACTTAGATTATGGTCTAACTTCACCAATATCTGATTATTTATATGTAAGCTTGTATGTTTTGTTACATAATCAAGCAATTATGTAACAGAATCCATAATTTTTGGACTTTCCATGGCAACATGGTTGATGTTTAGGAATTTCTAACCTTTCTTCCTTTCATGTCTGTACCTTCCATGACTTGGTTGTATTTATGCTTTGATCTTGGTGTTGAAACTTGAAAATAGAAAACTCATATAGCTTATAATCATTTTTGGTATTCCTACTTTCTATGTTTTACCTGTTTTGCTGCCTTTTTTCTGGTTACAGATTGCATTAGAATATGCAGAATACCAAATTCAAGTTTTTTCCCTAATCATTTCCCACATCTACAGCTTCTATAGCTTGAAATTTTTAGTTTTATAATCCTGAATAATGGGAAAAATTTATGGCAGAATCCCTTTGCAGAACTTTTTCCTTATTATGGTAGAATTTGGATATTTGATCCTTTGGATGAGTGTTCATCTAAGTTCCCACAAAATTTTTCTTTTTCAATCCCCTATTAGAGAAAATTTGCTCCTTGAAAGGAAAACCAAGACTTCATATGAGGTTTAGTTGCAAATTCGTAGAGCTCAAAGAGATCTTTTTCCTAATTTGTGTTGTGTTCTTATCCAGAAACAACTTTCCACTTGAGTTTACAATGCTGCCAAATCTCCATATGGTGTATCCTTTTCGCTGTTCTTTTGTGCATTTGTAGCACAAATGTATTTGATTAGGGTAAAACGTTGCTGGATTTTACAAAGAAAAAACGTTCCTATTTGTTACTGAATGGGGATAGCTTGGTCTCTATGGCTTCACATTAAGTAAAAATGTATTATCAGATAACACATGGCTCCTATCAGATCATTGGCAAAAACTTTGCTTTTTTGTGATTGTCTTTAATCTATTGTTCCTTTGTTGTATACAAATGTGCCTTTTACTGTAGTCTGCGGTGTTGTTACCCTTACCTGTCAAGCACTTCATAAACATTTTTTTAAAGATGTTTCTGGCCTCACTTCTCCTCTAGGCTGATCTAACATGAATCTATTTTCACTGGTCAAGATCTTACTAAAGGGTTTGTGGAAAGCTCAATGAAGCCGTTTCTGTCATTGAATCATACTGATCCTGACGTCAATTGTTCGAACCTTGATTCTAATCACTCAATGGTAGGTGAAGTTACAGTTCATGGGTTTGTTGCTTGCTCATTGAGTCATTAACAAGTTTTCATCCTATCTCAGGCTCACGTTCCTTATCCATATGGCGATCCTTTTTATGGCAGTTCTCTAGTGTCTTATGGATCACAGGCTATTGTAAGTTCTGTTCAGTACATCTTTTAGGTTTTTTATATGTACATTATATTACCAAGCAATTTGTGCCACTTGGTTTTGTTTGTGAAAATTTTATTATGCCATTGGTTAATTTGATAACTCTTGGAGTTTGATTTTGCTATTACCAGAATCAACCCCAAATGGTTCCACAAATGTTGGGGCTTGCATCTACAAGAGTTGCATTACCACTTGATCTTGCAGAAGATGGGCCCATTTATGTCAATGCAAAACAATACCATGGAATACTGAGAAGGCGACAGTCACGAGCAAAGCTTGAGGCTCAAAACAAACTCATCAAAAGCCGAAAGGTAAATTCCTTGTGTGTACACTTGTCATCTTTCTCTACCGTTTGATATAGAGTGTGAAAATTGTACGACAATTATTACCATGTTATTCCTTTGAGAGAAAAAAAAAGGTATTTTTTTGGGCCCTAGAACCCATAAAGGTGTTTGGTACATGGAAATCTTATTTTCTCAAGTGTTTGGATATAACGAATCATACGAACCTGAATTTTATAAGATGCATGCACAGATGCTGATTTTTGTCAAATTACTTTCATATGTCAAACTCAAATTTTCTATAAATAAATTTCCAAGTACCTCAAAAATTAGATATCCATGTATCATATGCCTGTACTCCTCTGCATGGTGTGGTAGAGTTGGAATTTAGACAGAACCTGTGCTAGTCAAGTATAAGGTTATTTTGCTATCGCCTACTGCAAAAGAATATTAGGATATCCAGCAACAAGCTTTATCTGATTAGGTGAGGTCAGTTATATATATATTGCACTATTGCCGTTGTGCTCTAGAACCTAGGAATCTGACTTTAATTTCATTATTCTATAAACGTGTTTTTATTTTCTGTTATAGAAGATGTGGAATCTGTTTTTCAGAGGTGCTGCAAGGTGCTTACTTTTCCATGTCTGCATTGGACAAGGGGAAGAAACTGAGTTTGCTTCACTGATTTTGCTCTTTTTGAAAATGATTGCAGCCATACCTTCACGAGTCTCGGCATCGCCATGCTTTGAACCGGGTTAGGGGATCTGGAGGTCGCTTTCTCAGCACCAGACAGCTTCAACAATCCAATGCACAAGTTGTGACGAGTGCCAATTCTGGCTCAGACTCTGTCAACTTGTATCAAAAGAAAGATGCATCTGAAGTGGAAATTATTCATCCCTCAAGGACCGGCACAGGTGAAAATGCATCTTCTATCTCAACCTGCTCTGACATGACAAGTGGATCCAGTAACAATGTCAATTTTAGGCAGCCGGAGTATACGTTCCTGGGAAACTCTCCAAACATGGGCAGTGCATCACAATGCAGTGGTGGACTCACCTTTGGCAGGACCCAGCAACGCGCACCAATTGTCCGGTGAGGGCTGATAGACGAAAAATATCTGTTCTCCACTGGTCAGGCAAATCATCCTTGGCTTCATCACTTTACTACTTTTTCTGTTTTAAGGTGTCACAGAAATGGTGTTTTTATTATACTAGACCCTGCAAAAAAAAAAAAAAAAAACTGGAGAACTTTAGCAGCACTTCTTTGCTGTGTATCTTTAAGTTGCTGTGACGTACAAACTTAAGATTGTGATCTATCTATGTCATCTGACAACCGTGTGTGGTTTCATAGGACGTCTTTTCTTCTATTTTATATATCTTCCATTCGACGTCTTTATTATTACTGAAACCTTAAAACAATTTGCTGTTGGAGTCTTGGATGAAAGAGGGTCAAGACAGGTTGAAGATGGTGAAAGATTAAAGCTTTGACCCTTTTGCCCATTAAATGAAGAAAGTAGGAGATTGAAGTGTGACTGATAAAACTATGATCTCTCAAAATACTTTAGGAGCTAAGTCAGACATAATGTAACAAATAATAATCTTATTTTGCACGATGTGGATTTTATGGAGGATTCCCCTTCTCCATCACCTTATCTCTCTCTTTAAGTATTTTAAATTTTTAATGAATCAATCAACAGAAAGTATAAAATATTTGTCAATAATAGTGCAGTTTTTATTACAGATTTTGTGTTATAACAGGTCTCAAGTCTGGTTTTAGTTTTTGTGGCTTGTATGAGCCGACGAAGAGGTAAACAATGGACAAAGCTGTTAATCAATGAGCACTTCTTTAACACGCTATGATAGTGATTAAGCAATATAGGCTTTTCGACAAGCAAGGTTGTTAATTCAATTTGTAAGTTACGTGACGTTTATATGAAACAATGGACAAAGATTTTTTATTTTTTTAATTAGAGGAGTAAGCACTAATGATCTAAGTTGCAATTAGGATTGAACTTGGTGACTTTTCACTTATAGGGAAGTTCACATGTTATTAGGCTGCAAGATTATTGACAAGTTCTCAAGACTTTTGTATCACAAGTATGTTGGTTTTAACTGTTTTTTTTTTAACCCCTTGGTATTTTGGAAAATATGAGAACACAGCCATTCATGTAGACTATTTGAATTCTTTGTATGCGATCATTATTATTAATGCCGGTATTATGAGTATTTCAAGGATTCTTTTGGTATTTTTATTTAACTCAAACTGCATATAAGCATATCTTATTACTCAAACTTGAGGCCCCATTATAAATTGATTTTGTGTCATCAAGTTAAAACAAAGCACCCTTTCATTGAATTATGTCTTTAATGAAAAGATCTTGTTGGTAATTAATTTGTAAATATTTTACTTTTTTTTTGTTTTTTGGGAAAAAGTATTCAAGGCCATCTTGTAGCATTGCTCGGAGTTGTAGACGTAGAAAGAAGACAACAAAATAGAAGGAAGGTAAAGGAATGAGAAAATGAAAGATGACTACTTGTTGCTTTCTTTTTTACTATTTATTGTGTTAGAGATAGAATTCTAGGAAGCTTGTTTTGATTGGTAATTCAGTTTAGCAGCCAGCGCCCACCAAACAACTCTTAAACATGACAAGGCAAATTATGTTTTTTGAAATACAATTTTTGTTTTAATAAATGAACGAATAACATTTATATAAGGTTACATTCATTTTGTCTCATTTATGAAATATTTTTTTTTACTAAAACAGTTCCTATACTCAGAATAGGAGGGAGCATAACACTTTTAGCAGGTTATAATTTATATGAAGTACAATATATCATAGTATCATAGTATGATGTAGGGTAAGTTTCAAACTTTTTTTTTTTTTTTTGGAGAGGATAACAATTAGGTCTAATTTTTTTTTTGAAAATTTTGTTGAGAGATGAGCTACATAAATGAATTTAGATAGCTACAAATACAAAAGTCACTATTGCATATCAGGAATTAATGACAATTAAATCTCATAATTTTATAACTCAAACTCTCATACTAGCAATTGTTTAAAAGGTAAAAGAATAAATTAAACTCAAAGCTATAGATTCAGGAGCATCAGGAATCCTGAATTTATTTTTTAAGTAATATTTCCATTTAATTTTTGAAAAAGTGCAATCCAGTTTCTAATATTAATAAAAATTAATTTTGATTGTTAATTGAGTAAAAAAATTATCGGTAAAATTTTATTGGTCCTTTTATATAATTTTTTATCCTTGATTGTGACTTTTGGATCATTTATTATAATTTATTGATCCTTTTTTTTTTGTAATTTTTGAAGTCCCTTTCTATTATTTTCTAGTCAACTAATAATTAAATTTAACTTCTGTTAATGATGAGAGTTGATTGCACTGTTTTCAAAAGTTGAAGAGAAATATAGCATAAAAAATAAATTTAAGATCCCAAACACTCCTGAACTTATTGTTTAAAAGCCAACTGAATTTGCCATGTTTTAGAGTCTTACCCTTTAAGAGCCTATAAATGTGAATATTTTAAATAGCATAAAGGGCAAATTTGGCCCTTAACTATTTTTTTAAGAGTATTGGGTAGCTTATACTATAAGGTAGTGTGAAATGAATTTTTAACTTTAAAAAACAGAGTATCCAGTGGCCGCTGTTAATTTTTATTTAATCGATGTTAACTTCTCATACGGAGCTCAAAAATTTTTAACTGAAATGACACGTGGCACTTCAATTTAACAAATAAAAGTGCAAATCTAGCTGTGACATTTTTTTAAGGGAACTTTCCCATCAATTTTGACAAAATGTTATTTATTTTTAGACTCATGAGACCTACAACACATCAATCTCTCTAATCTTCTTACCTTCATTCTTAGTCTTAACTCAAGAAGAAGAGGTTTAAAAGTTTTTATTTGAAGACATTCAAGAAAACGATGCCAATGAAATAGAAGTAAAAAAAGAATAAGAACATAAGGTTTTGTTTAAATCTCTGCAGTGATTCAAGCAAAGTAGCAATTTGACTTGCGAAACTACTACGCACAGGAGAAGCTTAATTCATTTGCTTCATTTTTTATAAAAATAATTTGTGGCTAAATTAGGTTTGAATCAAGCTTCTCCTATGCGTAGTAGTATCGCAATTCAAATTGCTACTTCGCTTGAAATGCCACAGAGGTTTAAACAAAACCTTGTTCATATCTTCTTCTACTTTATTGGCATTGTTTTTGTGAATGTCTTTAAATAATAATTCTTTAAACCTTTTTTTCTCGAGATGAGACTGAAAATGAAGGCAAGAAGATTAGAGAGATTAATGTATTATAGATCCTATAAATCTGAAAATAAATAACATTTGGTCAAAATTGATAGAAAGGTGTTAGATGGTTCGTTTTTAATAATAGAAGCTATCCAGTACTCTTCAAAATAATAATTCATGGCTAGATTTGTACCTTTCTTTGCTGAGATAGAATGCCATGTGTCATTTTAGTAAAAAAAAAATTATTGGCCCCACATAGGAAGTTAATGTTCATTAAATAAAAATTAATGAAGGATGTTGGATGTTCTGTTTTTAAAAGTTAAAAATTTATGTCACACCATCTTATAATATAGGTTACCCAATACTCCTAAAAAAATAGTTGAGGGCCAAATTTGTATCTTTATCCTTTTAAATAGGGTATAGTTGATAGTAAGGAAATACACCCTCTTATCCTAATTTATAGTCCTTTTGTTTAAAAATGTAAGATATTTTTAACTAAATCTTACCCTTCAATAAAGTAGTTGTTTATTTTCAAACTAACCTTATCTTTTCTATTTATCCATATTAAATACCCTACAATAAATATAAAGTCTTTTATCAATAGGGGCATTTTTAAAAAAAAGGCAATGATTACATATTAAAAAACTAAAAATGTCTTATATTTTTGAACATTTACATCCTCAAAAAATACCTTACATTTTTTAACGGAGAGAGCAAGAAACTTTTTAATAAAATTGTGCATATTAATAAAATTTATTAAATATACTTTACAGTCTTACTTTTAAAAATGCAAATATAAATTTTTAAAAAATATCGTTCATCCAATATAATTTTATTTGTAAAATATTAAATAAAGGAAGATAAAATATAATAAAAAGGGAAGGGTAATATTGAAACAATTATAATTAATGAAACTTTATTTTTTTTAAAAAAAGTATATTATATTTTGAGATACTGAATTATTTTTAAAAATATTTTATAAATTAGGGAGGATGAGTATTTAAAAGGAAAATAAGAGAACTATACTAAACCCATATGATAATTGGAGTATCAATGCAGTGATTATTAGTCCAATTTATGTTTTATATGACGGTTTTCACTTTTCAGCTTCTATGCTTATCTTCGTTTCATTTATTAATGATGTGATTAAAGTGATCAAGCTCGCTCGCGCGCGCTCTCTCTCTCTCTCTCACACGCGCGCACACACGCTTGTTTCATTTGTCATATATTTGTTATCATTAAGTAAAGACTGGTTATTCTAAAATTAACGAAATAAAATAATTTTTTATCCCAAAAAAAAAGCAGAGTTATTGGTGTAGGAAAACATGCATGCGAGAATGATTAAAATGATTGGTAAATTAGAGGATGGATTGAAATTATATGAAATGAATTCACAAACAAAATATAGCATTAAATGAAAGGATTTGAATCCTTTCATATTCTTATTCAATATCTAATCTCATTTGTCCATTTAATTATTTATTTGATTTAACATGTTATTGATTATGACATTAAAATAAATATATTATTTACTAGTATTAATGTCACGATAAGCAATCTTACATTATTAAATTAAATGGATAATTAAATGGACATATGAGAATGAGTAAACAGTTACCTTTCTTTCTATGTACGTGTGTATATTCCTTATCTTTATTGCCCCATTTTTTTTTTCAAAATGAATATTTTAATGGGAGAAGGACAGTTAAGTTATAAGAGAATTAATTAATTTAAATCTAAACTCACCAACAAAGTCCCTTAATTCTTTAGTAATAATAAGTCCAACAAAGATTTGAAGAGATTTGTAAGATCGGCTTTTAATTTTATAATTTTATTATGATGTATTTGTAATTTATTTTTTAAATTTTAACAAAAAATATAAATGTTCATATTTAATATTGAGAATTATTAAGTTTAATAGTTTTAAAAATTTACAAGTTTGGCTCTTGGTTTTACAATTTTATTGTTATATATTTGCAACTTACATTCCTAATTTTAATAGGGAATAAAAATGTCCATCTTTAATGTTGAATATCATTAAATCTAACAGCTTTAAGAATTTACAAATTTGACTTCTAAGTTTGCAATTTTGTTGTATGCATTTTGCAACTTATTTTTTAAGTTTTAACAAGAAACATGAATGTTTATCTTTAATATTAAAAAATATCAAGTCTATTTTTTATTCTTTGCCTTCTGCCTAGTTATCAATAAAATAAATAAATCCTTCATTTCTTCATTATTTATTGTTTATCCTTTAATGTTGTCAAAATTTAAAAAATAAATTACAAATGCATCATAATAAAATTGTAGAATTAAAAACTGAATTTGCAAATCTTTAAGAGTATTAAATTTATTATCATTGAATGATCAAAGAATGGCACTCTAAAAATGGTAAAGACTTAAATTAATTGGTTTCATTTGAACTTAGCTGTCATTCTCCTTATTTTAATTATATATATATATATATATATATATGAGACTTTACAAATAAATTAAAAAAGAACAAATTTTAAATAATTAATTGAAATAGTTGAAAAAAATTAAATGATAAGTTAGTGATTTACTTTAAATTCAAATTAAATGAGCTGTCTAATAATTTTTCAGTACATATTTAACAATATCTGGGACAATTTTCCTCAGAAAACAATATTTAGAATATGTGCGTCGTAATTTATACTCAACTTTATAGTTAATTATGGCAAATTCTTCGAACTTCAAATCCTCCTTGCATGAATAAGTGTTCATTTATTCTGATGCTGTCCTCATCTTCATCGGCAATAAATGGTCGGAATCTTTAACAACTTTGTTAATTTATACTATTAATACTATTTCATTAAAGCATTCTTGAATACTGATATTAATGATTAGAATTCTTGCACACAAACTTAGAGTGATTGGATAAATTGTGCTAAATGATAATTCATTTATTATATAAATAAAACATCTGACTTTTGACTAAATCTTATTCCCTCTGTGAGAAATACTTAGCAATGTTTTTAGAATCGAATTGGATATTGAACCAAAAAGGTTAATAATTCACGGTTCGCATGATTCAATCAGGTTGGACCAACGGTTAAACTGGTGGCATAATAATTAAATTAAAAAATTATATATGTATATAATAATTTAAATATCAGAAATAAATGTGAAATTGTTACTTAACTTAAAGAAAGTCAAATATTTCAAGTTTATCATAACTTAATAAGTCACATGATACAACATAATATTAAATGATTAAAAAAATTGGTCATTTCCTAAAAAAAATCAATAAAAAAATAAAAAAAGTTTTTTTGAACAGTTTGGTTCTTGAAAATCAGATCCGATTCCCAGTTCAACCACCAGTCTGAAATGGCCCAACCTGACTCAACCTTCAAAAAAGTTTTCATACATTGGCCGAATCAAAATTCAGATCGATCGATGGTCGGATTGATTCAACTGTACGATTCGGCCAATTTTAAAATCACTGATGCTTAGATAGATTAGGTATATCACATTATTTATAATCTGTCCAATAAAAACATGACATTTATATAGAGTTAATTAAATATAAATTCATTCTAATATTAATGATAGTAGAGAGAGAAAAAATAAGAAATCAAATATGTATTTTATTATAAAAATAAAAATAAAACCAATTTAAAAAATGTCAAGTGAGATTTTATTTAGATAATTTAAAATATTTTAATTGAATAGATTACAAATGACATGATGCATCCGATTTACCTAAATATTTATCCTCCCTTTGGACCAAAATCTAGGGTATTGGTAACTAATTCATGGTTTTAAAAAAATATTAATTAAAATCTTAATTTTTTAAAAATTTATATATCTTTTTAATTATACCCTCATTAAATATTCTATATAAGAACTTTGATAATATTAATTAAAATTCTAATATATTATTTTTTTAAATAAAGTAATAAATGAAGTAAGGGTATAGTTAAAAAATAATTATAAAAAATAACCAATGTTCTTTATTTTGGACTAAGTGAGACTTTTAAAAAATATTTTATATTTTGATCGATCCAGAAAAAAAAAATATAGGGTTAGAAAATTATGCTTGTAATCCTATGAAACGGGTAAAAAGTCTTTTCCAATTATATAATCTCAAGATAATCGTGATTTTGTTTAAACATTTTGTATGTATTTAAAAAATAAATAATGAGCTGGTCCTTTTCACAAGCTGTAAATAAACTCATTTTTTGGATTTCACATGATATGAGTATCGGAAAATACACTTTGTCATTGCTTAGCACCCTAGAATTTTTGTCTTAAAGAAAACTGCTAAAGATAAAAAGTACATTTTACCGTCAGACAAAGACCAAATTACAATCAATATTGTTTTTTAAATGCACAAAAATACTTTCCTAATTTTTAGGACAAATGCAAGATAAATGAATGACAATTTGCATTGTCATCTTGTTTGCAACACTCAAATAACTAATATTTTAATCGATAGGGGTGAGTATATCGGAACACACGTCTCTCATTACATAATATTAAAAGAAATGTTTATGTTTAATGTCAGGTCAATTTTCGGAGTATAAGAGTATGACAACAAGAGCAATAAAAAAAAAAAAGCTAATATTTCATTCTGTACCCAAAATAACAACTAGATTTCAGTTTAAAGTGCTAAAGTTGCTCTCAGGTTTGCATTGCTTCAATAGTTTAAGCTTACCATCAAACTTGAGCTTTTCTTCAATCCATAAAACTACGAAGGGCAAAAAAGTTAAGAACTTTCTTCAATTTTTTTTTTAAATTAAAAAAAAAAAAGTGTTGCTCCACTTACCTTTTGCTGTGTTGTGATCCTACACAAACAATCTAATTCGCCCGGTTCGCTTGACGTTCCCGAGAAATCAGCTTCAAACTCCAATCCCTCTCATTTTCTCTCCTCAACTTGCTTTCACAGAAACACACAGAAGAGACTCAGTTTTCTTCTGCTACAAAACGAGGTGGGAAGAAAGTGCAAAGTGTACGACGTCGCCAAAATTGGCGAGAATCAGAGAATTTGAGAATGGTTTCCTATGTGAACATTTTTCTATACGGAGTTGGGGGGTTAGTGGTGGCCGGCATGGCATTGCTGGTCGCATTGCAGGAGAAGCTTGTGTACGTGCCCGTCGTGCCTGGCCTCACCAGGTCCTACCCCATCACTCCCGCTCGCCTCAGGCTCAACTACGAGGACATCTGGCTCAGATCCTCCGATGGTGTGCGTCTTCACGCCTGGTTCATCAAGCTGTTCCCTGAGTGCCGAGGTTCGATCTGACTTACTGGGTTGAATTTTTTTTTTTATTTGTTAACCTTTTGTTTGGCGTCGTCAATTGAAGTAATTTCATTCTAATAGAGTTGGGTGAGGGAATGAATGTTCTTGATTGAGGGGGTTTAAGATGTGCGTTTTGGCCGTTCTAGGGATATGAAGTTTGGGTTGCTTTAAATTCGTGGCCTTTGAACTTAATTTGGGGCTAGCATGCAGATTTTGGGTTGTCTCGTACTAGAGTGAATGAATACAAATCGTTTTGGATTTGCGTTTTTCTCAAATTTGCTTTGGGTTAGAGAAATCTGGCTTGATGTGTTGTAGTTCTGGTTAGGTGAATAATTTACCTTCTGCTTTGTTTGGGTCATGCATTGGAAACTAAGATGTACTATTTGGCTTTTTATTTCTTAGAGTTAACTGAATTTAGGGAAGTCGTTATCTGCTTGGAATGAAAATTTTGGTATGGGCTGCTACTGATTAAATGAAGCAGGATTTGTTGTTGTGTTTTGGTTAAATGGAATAGTCTCAAATTGGATTCCCTTCCAATTTACATGTGCTTCTTTTAGAATTTGAATATTATTTGTCATGGCAATGACCTATGGTCTTGTGGCATGTCTTCTGGTCTTAAGCAGTTTGATCCTCGTCACTGTTGTAACTATGCTATGTAAACTTACTTCCTTGACTACTGTGCTAGTTTAACTTTTTTTGTATTTTTGGGTCATATAGTGCTAATTTAATAGGTATAGCTAAAAGCTAGAAATAGAATAATAGGCCAGAAGTGATCAAAACAGCAGAATGGACGGATTGAGGTTTAATATTTGAAACTACAAATTCTTAGATGCGGTTAAATCTTATTTCACCATAATGCAAATTTTTGCATTTGATATGTTTTCTCTCAATTGAACTATTTGATATTTTCTGTTTATTCAGCACTTTACTGTTGTATAGTTGTCGTTCTTATGAAGTTTGTGTTCTCATGTTTCATTTACAGGTCCAACCATTTTGTTTTTCCAAGAAAATGCTGGAAGTATCCTTGATATAGAGATTAGGATGATGTTTTGATTTTTAATTTATGCATCTTCACTGGATCAGGTCCAATATGCTTTTAGAGTCCTTGACTACTGGCCTTTAGATATTGCTCATCGTCTTGAAATGGTGCGCATAATGTTGCAGCGGTTAAATTGCAATATTTTCATGCTTTCATACCGAGGGTAGGTGCCAGCACCTCAATGTTATTAGTTCATCACCCTGTCTTCAACAGATTCATACCTTCTAAAGTGCACATGAAACTTTCTCTCTCTCTAGATTGGTACTAATATATTATTCAAATAAAACAGTTATGGAGCGAGTGATGGCTATCCTTCTCAGCATGGTATCACTATGGATGCTCAGGTGTGTGCGCACATGCTTATTTTGTCAATTTCCCTTATTTTAGTTGTCAAACTCTTTCTCATAAATATTTGCCATTTTGAAGCTCAGGCTGCATTGGACCATCTTTCTCAAAGGACTGATATTGACGCATCTAGAATAGTTGTTTTTGGAAGGTCACTAGGAGGTGCAGTTGGAGCTGTACTAACAAAAAATAACCCTGATAAGGTATCTGTCTAGTAAACTTGGCACTTGTCTTTCAATGTACCCATTTCAAGATGCTATGTACTTTCCCTGCTAGATTTACAGTGGGAATTGTATGGGAATTCTCTATCAAGTAGCTCCAACCAGGCTTCTGAAATAGAATTGCTGGAGTTTAATAGTTATATATGGATTTATAGCAATTCTCTATCAAGTAGCTCCAACAAGGTTTCTGACATGGAGTTGCAAGAGTTTTATAGTTGTACATGGATTCATGAATCGATTTAGGATTATAAGTTTTACATGAGAAATTGAATTCCTCTTGCCCTGCCACTCCCCAACTTCCCTCTCGTAGCACCCACCCTACGATAAACAAACAAACAAAAAATAGTCTCATCTTTAAATATCATTGTATCGTCTAAAACTGCTGCTACAGAATTAACTCGATCCAGAGTGATGAAAAATAGTTTTCAAACTTCTATTTATTACACCCTGAAAAAATGGTATTACTAGTTTTGTTTTGGGAGTTAGTTGTACCGTCTAGAAATGCTGTATAGAAAACTCTTTAGTGGGAATGCTGAAAATCTTGTAATTAATAAACTGTAACTTTACATGTCAAAGTGGTCCTGTAATTCCTTCCTTTAGCATTTTCACTTTATGATAAGTTTTTTTTATAAGTAAGCATTTTTACTTACTGATGGAGTTTTTATCTCTAAGAATTTTACTGACATTATGCTCTTGGGGCATGAACAATATTTAATAATTTCTTACAAGAGTTTACAAGGGACCAGTTTTTTTAGACTAGACTTAGGGAAGCGTCCATTTCAAACTTTGCTTTCTAAATATATTCAACTTTAGCAGTTTAACATAGTCAAGAAATTATTATAAAGTTAATGTTATTATCTTGTTTATGCGTAACGAGTTTCACTTTGTTTGTCTGGCGTGTGTTCATGATGTGAAATTTCTAGCAGAGGTTTTGCCTTGTTGTTAATAGATTAGTTCATCTTGCCGACATTTCTTGTTTGCGGTCAATTATTGAACTGATTCCTTGGATTCTGCCATTTAGATTGACTCCTTCTTGCTATTCTCAGCAATAGTTTGTTCATGTATCTATAATTTACAAACTCTTTTGGCCATGTTTCTGCATCATAGGTTGCTGCACTGATACTGGAAAATACTTTCACATCAATATTGGATATGGCTGGTGTTTTATTACCTTTTTTGAAGTGGTTTATTGGAGGAAGCAGTTCTAAGGGCCTTAAAATTCTCAACTGTCTTGTACGCTCTCCATGGAATACTGCTGAGATTGTTGGCCAGGTGAGGCATGCTTCTATTTTTATATTTGCTCTCGCACATATAGGATGTGATAAATGATTAAATTAGTAGGTCGCTCACATATAAGGGTATGCATCTTTTCATTTTCTTGTGTAAAGTTTAGAAGTGTGATTAAAGCCTCTCAATTCTAAGGGATGTTAATTTCTTATTTGTCCCGGAAAGTGTCATGCAATCTTTCGCTTCTAAGTTATTTTTCTTGTGTCTATGTCTTGCTGGATTTGCAAATTTGGGCTTCACCTTTTCTGTTTTTGGGTACCATCTTAATTCCAGGTTAAGCAACCCATCCTTTTTCTCTCTGGGTTGCAAGATGAGATGATCCCACCATCACATATGCAAGTTCTTTATGCCAAGGCAGCTGCTCGTAACAGTCTGTGTCTCTTTGTGGAATTTCCTACTGGCATGCATATGGACACGTGGCTGGCTGGTGGTGATAACTACTGGAAAACAATTCAGGACTTCCTTGAACAGCATGCTCCAGAGAAAAAGGAAAGCAGTTCATCTATAGACAATAACGGTAATATTTTTCTGAGTCTATTTTCATTTTCAATTTCAGGATGAATTAGGAAATTGGGATAACCTTAGCTGAATGTAAGAGTTAAATGAATTTCATCCAATCATCACCTTCAAAAGACTTCAGACTTTACCTTTTTTTTTTTTTTGTGATTTTACTTAAACTTCATGAAATTGAAACCATTGTCGTGAACAAAAAATTTGCCCTTTTTTAACGCCAACTCTAAGCAAACACCATTGTTTCTTTTTTCTTTTGTTTTTTTGTAATTCTCAATCCATTGTTGTTTTACGCTGCTGCCAGATATTGGGGCGAGGTGATTGGCTATAAGTAGATTATTTCGATGATGGTAATTCGCTAACTAAGGATTCAAACAGTGTCTTCCCTATGAAGTTACACCCACCTCGAGCTCTGTGACACGGATGCCTGCCATGTGGAACTGTTGCTCCCAGTCAGACATTTTCATGGCACAATTTGGATTGTGGTTTACAGAACTTGGATGAGGCAATTTGTGATTCCCTTTTCCTTAATGTACTGCTACCTGATTGATTCTGGATACCTGATGAACTCTGACATCACATATATTATATATGAAGTTTTGCCAAAGCTAATATGTATCTTAACCTCAGGTTTGTCTCTGTACTTTTTGTTTTTCTGACGTTTTCACATCATAGATTCCAATGCACGCTTATTCTGCCCATACTGCCTATTTTGTTTGTCTTAATTGATTCTTTCCTATGAATAAGATTTGAATATAGGAAATATTCTTTTATGCAATTATGATGCTGATATCAACTGAAAGATATGAAAATTCGTGAACTGCAATACTGCCGGTAATTTTTTTTTTTTTTAAACCAAAGCATACTGCTGGTAACTACTACAGCCAGAGTTTCATGGACGTCACTATCAAGTGATTATTGGATCCTTTTGTGAAGTAATTCACAAGATTGTTATCATTAGATTTATTTTATAATTTAGAATCCGGTTCTTGTAGACATCTGAAAATTTCATCAATTTTTTTTTTTAATTCTTGTTCGCTGCTGGTGCATGAATGCATATTAATATGCATATGGACCACCATGGACAAATAGAGATACTGGATGCTTGGTGCCTTTAATCTGTGAAACATAAATTGATTTGTGTTCAATATCTTGAGGCTCCCCTTGTCCAGGGGTGGAAACTCCATTTATGATCCATCTGAAGCCAGCATGTGATGAGATAGTGGTGTCTAAAGAGTTTTCAGTATGAGGTCCATTCTCTCTTAAAATATGCTCCCTCTTGTGCTCGTCATAAGGCTCCTTTCAGAAGAAATAGTCTTTGTACCAACAAACTCTTTGTTTAACTAACAAGGAAGTTATATTAGCTTAATCAAAGATCTCAAGCTTGAGTCTTGAAAATGCGGCAACTTTTGGTAGTAGAACTTTTGCTAGAATTAGCTTTTGAACGCTCAATGGTTTACTACAAAAAAATATATTTATTATTATTATTATTTAAAATAGATAGTCTTTATTGCAAGTCACTTGATGGGGTATTACTTAAGTTTTACTAATAAAAAAAATTTATATACTTAACCTTATATATTTAGTATGCTTATTTTTAATTAAATAAAGAAGTGAATTTTTTATTAATTATTTATTCTAAAATAAATTCTTGTTATCAATTTTGTTAATATATTAAGATTAACTTGTCATAATTTGATTGAATATAAATATAGTATGTATATAAGATTAAATATAGAAGTCTTGTCCTTACTAATATTGCTTCTATTTAAAGTCATTAATTATAAGAATGTAATGCAAACATGAAAATTTATATTTAAATATGGGTAAAATCAAAAAATTATTTTGTTTAGATAAAATTAATATCTTAACCATCTTTATTTTGGTAAGATGATTGGAGGTGTTTTGTGGTAGACACTGGAATAGTATTTGTGAGTCAAAATTGCAACTGAATCAACAAATGTAATTGGGTCAAATGAAAGATAAGGTTGAAGGTTTGAACCTTGTAGGGCAAAAGTGTTAAATTTACCCTCAATTGAATATTTGAATTTGATCATGCTTAAATTTGACCTGATAGCATTTGTCATTAAATCTTGCATTAATAAACTTGTAACAGGGCATGTAGATAATGTAAAATCTCAAAGTTTAGCACATAAATCCAGCTCAGAGCAAGAATGGAATGTAATAAATCAAGTTTAATATGAATTGATTGTTTGATTTGGTGGAAATGATTTAGGACATGTTTGGTTGTGCTTTCATTTTTTGTTTTTAAAAATTGTTTTGAAATATAATTTTTAAAATTATTTTTCAAAACAAATAAAAAAATTATTTAATTGTGTTAATTTAAAACAATCAAATTAAAAAATTGGTCAATAGTAATGGTCGCCGATGGATTGCGATAGTCGTTAATCAAGATGACTGTTGTTTTTAATAATCAATTGTAATGTATTTTGAAAATAAAAAATAAAATGAAAATAATTTTAAGATATTTATGTTGTTTTGCTTTTAAAAACCAAAAATAGAATAGTTTTTGAAATAATTAAATTCAAAACATTTATTTAAATGAGTTTTTATTTTTTTTAAAAAAACTACTTTTTAAAATAGAAACCAAATAAGCTCCTAGTTTTCCTTAAGTAGTTAGAAATTAATGATACTGAAAACTGAATAATTTTTATAAAGATTAGAAATATGTCTATGGCAATGATAATTATAAGCTAGTGTTTAAGTATATTGAAGAGATAAAATGGAAGGACGAGGCAAATAAATCCTCTTCTCTCCCCTTCAGAGAGTATATTTTTCTTTTTCTTAATTGTTTTTTATTGAGATTTCAGTCTTTGTTGTTTGATTGTCTCACTTTTCTGACGGTTTCATAATAACGGAGACTTCCAGATAGGGACAAAATGTTGAAAAAGTCGTTATGTAGTTATTGCTTTGGTGATTACACAAGCCATTATAACGTCTAGCTCAATAATGACATAATATAATGATGACGAGTTTGGTAATTTTTTTAGAGTATTTATTACTTACATTTGTGACTCCTTTTTTCTTCAGATTTTGTTCAACAATGAAACTACTTGGAAATTGGAGTTAGCGCAAACTTTTCATAAACCATGTCTCATTTGTGAAGGCACAATCAAAATCTAGACTTCCAAAAAGGAGATGGGATATATAATTATATTTTTTATTTTCATTTGTAGATTATTTAATTTGTAGTCACGTCTTTTCCTAAACAAAAATGTTGCATCAGAAATTCAGAATGTCCATACAGTTTTATTGTTTTCGGAAATTTTTTTAACAACTCAATAACAAGAATTTTAATTTATAGCAACTCAATGTCAACAATATAAAATATAAAAAATGCAATAAAGTGGCCTGCAAATATGTAACTTGTATTAAATTTTATACAAACACACCAAGCTCATTTTAATAAACTATTAATTTAAAAGGCACGAAAACAAGAATACTCAAAAAGTCATTGATCAAAGAAACATTCAATAATTTAAAATAAATAAAAGTAAACAAGTGCTCATGAAATTATTTTTTCAATACATCTATAATCTAACTGTTAAATTTTATGTTCACAACATAACGGTCAATATTATTAATTTTTAACAGTTTGATCATAGATACATTAAAAGATAATTTCGTGAATATTTATACACTTTTTCTCACTTGAAATTACTAAATGCTCTTGGTCAATTATTTTTTGAGTATCTTTGCTCCTTTGCCTTAATTTAAAATTTGAAAATTAATATCAAAAATCAATATTTAATGTAAAATCTGAAAGTTAATAAAAAGTTTTACTTCTCTCCTGTATTGTTTAGTGAGCTCACCCCACAAGCCACTAGTCTCATCGTAAAACATGCGACACGCTGTTCAGGGATGAAGGATAATCTTGGGGAAGCGAACTTTTGCCGCAAGACCAGAGTCTAGCTTTTCAATACCAAGAAAGGAATAAAAGGAACGGAGGCAAAACGCTCCCTTAGACTACGCATTGGACTTTCTTTTCACAGCAATATAATTTATCCAAATGTGATTTACACACACTCCTTCCAGAGGACATAAATACAGCAATGGAATCTTACAAACAACTCTATAAATTGAAAAAACAAAAACAAGCCTAATGCTGATTTACTTCTATTCACATTCCCCATATGTCATTCAGTACTTGTAATTTTTCAAGGGAAGGTTGCTTTATTCGTGATCTGACAAGAAGGATAAGACCTAACAAAGAAAAATCTGAAATGACATTCCTCTAACTTACATTCACTTCAATCTAATGGTTGTATCTGATATAATGACATTGGGGTTTCTGATATGCGGATTTAGAGCTGCCAGTTCCTTCCATTTTGCTCCAGAACCATAAATACGAGATGATATGCTCCACAATGTATCACCAGGTTGCACCTTTGTTGTAGCTAAAGTACTAGATTTAGAAGTAATTTTTGACTTCATTATTGGATGCTTATTGCTCTTCCCCATTCCATTTGCAAGTAACCAACGGGAGCCAGACTTTTCATTGGTTGAAGTTCCCCATAGCTTCTTTTTGCGGGGTTCAGGCTCGGTTGCCAGACCAGCAACGTGGACTTCAGTTATTTTGAACTGAGGAATGACCTCCTCTTCAGAGGTTCTCTCTTCTTTCTTGTCATCCTTTGACTCCGACTTGGCACTAGTTTCACGCTCATCATCTTCATCGTTATTGTTCCTTATCTCCGACACATTGCAGTAAATTCTTGGCTTTGGTGGGACAAACACCCTCTCAACTTGTATCAGAGCAAGCATTGGTGTTCCAACAGGCTCATAGTCTCTCAGAGGATCACGCAGTTGCACCATCAAAGCTACTGTAAAATTATTTCCCAACAGACCACACTTTCTGCCATGGCCTTTGCCTCTTTTCTTCTCTCCCTTAGAGGTCCCACGAACGAAGTCGAAAGAGTTGGCATGATGGGCAGCAAGAAGTTTAGAAGTATGATCACTGATATTCTCTATATCATCGATCTCACCAGAATCCAACCTCATCCATTCATCCAGAGTTAATGATAGGCCCATTATCCCATCAACAGATTCAACACCATCACTGCTGTCTTTTAGATCCAACAACTGCAAACCTGCAGCTCCATCCAGGCCAAGAGACCCACTAATATCAGCCCCCTTGCCCTGGAGAGCTGAAACATCCCCAATGGATTGTGCAATGATGTTTGATGGTGCGTCCTGATCAGACATCCCAGACTGGATTCTCAAACCCTCCATCGAAAGTGCTTCAATTTTATCCATAGCCAATGGAGCAAGATCTTCCAATGAAGCAAATTCCGAGCTTGTTTGATTGCCTAATGAACTTGTACTAGCCTTTGTAGCCTTTGGTCCTGATGATGTTCCTTTCAAGCCCCTTTGCACAGAACTAGTATCTTGCCCCGCCACCAAATCATGCTGTGACAGACATTGCCTACATAAATGAAGCAAAATTCAATAAATGAAACATACGTGAAGAAATGGATATTTTAAAAAATTCTCACTGCAATATTGATTGAAACAGGATTGACAAACCTCTCTGTTCCCTCTAAGAGAGGCATAGCTTCCCATGCCACTTGCTGCATTGTCTTCCCTGTGATATCCTCCAGAGGCATTAACTTATTTGCCTGCACTGAAAGCTTTTCAATTCCCAATGAAGCCAAACGCTGCAAAATCTCCATCACACCAGAACCCATCTCTGCGGGTACCACGACAGGATTGGAAACTTGCATAATCAAGCTTCCACCACTTTTAGCATTCCTAAAAAGTGAGGGATCCATAGTTCGTAAAAATCCCCCATCTTTTGTCTGAAGAAAAGGACCTAGCCCCTCTGCAAGAGGAGGCAAAGTAATAGGCTCTTCAGGTGATGAGTGGATAGGACTTCCAAAACCAGCAGAGTCTTTTGGTGGAGAATGCTTAAAAGCATCCTCATTCAAACCCCACTCACGCATCAAGGCTTCTGTTTCCAAGTCTTCTACCATCTGAGCCCTCTGTTTGCTCCTCACTTCTTGAGACTCAGCTGGATGAACCTCCTGCAGCAGATCTTGTAACAGTGATGAAGATCTGGGGCCCTCAGAGAAGTCCCACTGCTCGGATCCAACAGGACCATTATGGTCAATTTCAACTTCATCATCACCCATTTCAAAATCAAATAAAGAAAAACCCTCAGCCAGAGCCTCCTTCTCAAATTGCCTTAAAAGGCGCTCCCTTGGGGACTCAGCTTCACTTTCAGAACTCAAACCAAATGGGCTATGGTCAGCACCTATCAGGCTTAAAAATTCACTGGCAACTGATTCTGTAACATCATCCAAGCTATGTGATTTTCTCATTTTATATTCAGATTTGGCTTCAGCATATTTCTCATCTTTGGGAGATTCCAGTGCAGCTGTCTCCAAATCTGAGATGCTGCTTAAAGCTGATTCTAATTCCTGCATGAGCAGCTCTTTAGTGATAAAGTCATCATCTTCAAAAGTGAATTTGTTTGATGCATCCTTCTCCTTAGAATCATCATTTTCCTCACCCAAGGAGTCACTTTTGGTAGCATATTCAGAAGATAACTGGATACTATCAGTATCATGGATATCAACATCAGAATCATGAACCTTTGTGGTGGATGCCTCTAGGTTATCAGGTTCATTTGATGACGATTCTACACCCTGATCAACAACAGAAAATCTACCTTGACACTCTTCAAGGTTTTCATTAACATCATCAGATTGGACTGGCTCCACATTTTCTTGAAAGACATTAATTTCAGGATTGCCAAGAACTGGGCTGCATTTTTCCTCATCACCAACACACTCCTCAGATTTTTCTTTCCCAGAATCAGTCAACTGATCGACATTTGGTTTGATTTGCTCAAGATTCTCAGAGCACAAATCCTGTTCAGGTTTTTCATGCACTGGACTGTTTGTCTTTTCTTCATCAAACTTCTGATATAGGAAGTCTATTGAGCTGGCCAGTGCCGACTTAGATGTGGGCAAAACCTCATGAAGATCCTTTACCTCATCTACAGTTCGAGGAGAATACTGCTTGGGGATACTTGGCATACTTCCAACTCGCCTTGAAGTCAATGCACTAGGAACAATATGGTTGTCCTTGGTAGCGTTATTGTTATTACCAACCACCTCATACCCAAAACTAACATTCATTACAGCACCCCGGGCAACTCCAGATAATCTAAAACTTGTAGTCCACTTCCCTGAGTTCTTCTCCTCCTCTAGTTCTTCCAGTGTAAGCGGAAGCAACCTTGTGAGGTCTACCCTATGCTTCCCCAAATCACGTTCTGGCGCACTAAGAATAGAAGCATAGAGTAAAAAATGCTTAGCTTCATATTTAGCTGAATGGTGAGGTCCACTCCTACTGCCATACACTGAGCAAGTGTAGGTCAGTTTCTCTTCAAATTCAGCCATGCCTTGAACCACCTTGGCTGGACGGGTCACCAAAACCCCATCCCGCCTCTTCCAGTATACACAAAGGCTTGCATCGTTAAAATTTGAAGGTAACTTTTCAATCAAATGGACTTGGAGAGAAAAACTACAGTCAAACCTCCGGTTGCGGATATGGGAAAAGGCCTTTAACGGTCTCCAATTCCATATGGACTTCTTATCTTTGCGTGAAGGATCTTCATTACTAGCTGCAGGCTTTGATCTTGGTTCAGGTAAGTGAGATTTCCCGGCAGACTTGGACCGAGAATTAGCAGAAGATACAGTATTTCTCGGAAATCTTTTATCCAGATACAAAGCCTTGCTTATAGTTTCAATCTCTTTTAACAGCTTCCCATCCCTCGAACTTTCGCCAGTCTTCTTACCAGCTTCAATTTTTGACAACATCATCTGCAGTTCAAAACAATATAAAAACCAGATTAAATCGAATAAGCGAAGTAAAATCCCTCACAAACAAGGAGAAAACAACGTCTATATGATCGCATACATGTGGGGGAAAAAAGAAAAGCCAGCAGATTCTATCAGCAAGCGAAAGAAATAATAAAATTGATTTACCGGATGACGTTAGTGATGAACTAGATCATCAGAAGAAGCTGCAGCGAAAACCCTAGATTACCCAGTCCGAAAAATCACCACCCTCATTCTGATATTCAAAATGGAAACTCCATAACGAACAAGATAATCCACCTTTGACTCTTTAGAAAACAGCCAAATAGAAAGAGAAACAAAGAGAGAGAGATTGGAGAGAGACGAGAAACAGAGAATCGAAGCAAATTGAAATAGGCAGTGAAAACGAAGTCTTACAGAGTCGCAACGTCCGAGCAAAGCTTGTTATCTTCACCAAGTCACCCCCCCTCTCTCTCTCTCTCTCCCCCCCCAATTGCCGCTGCCTCTTTCAAAACGGAATAAAGCAAAAACTTAAAACCACGGAGTATGTAAAAGCAAAAGAATTTTCACGTGTAAAAATATAATTTTTTCCACATATTATGACATATCTATTTCCTCTTATGCCCCAAATTTTCATACGTTTTTATGGCTGTCATCATAAAATATGCTCCTCAAACAATATAACTTTTTTCGGGTTTTACAAAATATGCAAAATTTTGAGGTAAAAAAAGGCAGTCAAAAAAGTGATAAACCATATGGTTCAAAGACTTTCCAAATTTGAATTAATGTTTATGACATATTTAGTAGAAATAGAAAAAGAAATGAAGAATGTAATCATGAAATTTAAATTTCATGTAAATTTATCTTTTTTGGGTTATTTCTCTTTGGATATGTATATAAATGAATATATTTTTTTGGACAAGTAAATATATGAACATTGAAAATTCAGTTCACAATTTTCCTTGCCTCTTCTTTTTGACCCTTGGGTCAGGTTTTGTATGTAGCTTTGACTCTTGCCGAAATGTAATGAATTTTTATTTTATTAATCCATGGGTATCTTATATTTCAAAACCATCTAGTATGATATTAATTCTTAATATTAAATATACTAGATTTTATCCAACACTATAGATTTTAACTTTATATATATTGATTTAAAAACATTTTTATTGAAAAGTTAAAAGTTTATATAAGAGAGAATGCAATTAACGTTTTGGGGGGGGGGACAGAGAGAGTTCTATATGTGAATAGTATAGCCATTTATAAAATTTATATCTAAAAATTAGAGCATGTCTTTGTATAATTATATAAGAAAATGTGATTTACAAGATACAGAATTCATATGGTAATATAGAAAAATGTTATGACTGATTAAATCCAGTTTATTAAAAATTTATCAAAGTTAATTCATGAAGAAGTTATATAATTTTTTTTAACAAACTATATAAAATTGAGTAGGTTTTTGTAAGTTGAGAGATCACAATATGATTAAATTAAATTAAATGATGAAAACAAAGCATCAATTAAAAATAAAAAAAGTTGGCAAAACAAATAAAAATAAAAATTTATGAGATAAAAAATATATATAGTTTAGCCTCTAATTCAAATTCAAGAGACAATCTTGGTTGGTCCGTCGTGGGAGACAATGGCTAACGCCAATCAAGCTTAGCTGTCTCTAGAATGTGCTTTTGTTCTCTTTGCATTGATTCGTTTTAGTTTTATCATTAATTTTCTTTAATTTCTTCGATTTTATTTTGTTGTTTAATTGTCATTTGATAATTATGTATCGCCATGAGGGTTGCCACAATCATTCAAAATATTGATCTAATTTATTATCAAAATAATTGATTGATTTTAAAATTAACTATTACATTTTATGTTTGTATAGTGTGATTTTTTGTAACCATTTTGCACAACTTATCAAATATTTGTAAGTTTTGAAAATAATAAATGATTTAATTGTGCAAAATCTTTCCAAATTATGTATCATGTGCAAATAATATATATCAACTATATGACAATAATTAACATTTGAAATTTCTAAAATTCTAAATAACTTTCACACTTTTACGTAAATAACTTTCACACTTTTAAATTCATATATTATTTTACCGAAAAATGACTTATCCAGAGTTATCTGTACAGGTTAAAGTGAAAAAAATTATTTTCACGTAATTTAAAACTTAAAAAATTGTAATGTAACGTGATAAAAGTGTTTGGACCACATAATAAGAATGAACTGTGGTATATGTAACGTAAAATTGAAGAGTTCAAATCCTTCCAACAATACTAACAGGCGTTGATTTTAGGTAAAGAGATTATATATGATCACTTAAACTTGAAATCATTAGAAGTCGTGTGTGGATAAAGATAAATATTTTTTTAAAAAAATACCCTAATTAGGCCTAATAATGTTTAAATCTAATATAGTCAAATATAAGGGCAAGACTCAATTTAGCCTTATATATTTAAAGTACCTTCATCCAATTAAATCAAAATAAGTGAATTTTAATGTGCTTGTAATATTAATAACAAAATTTTATTATAAAATAAATAATATACGAGCAATTCATATATCTTAATTTAATTGAAAATAAATATCTTTTTTATATTTCTTGCTAATAAAAAAGTAAATAATTAAGTATATAAATTTTTCTAATAAAAAATTGGAAAGTTGCTTGTGGATGTTTTTCACGTTTCTCGTGGTTCTTGCTGATGCTTTTGCGTGCTTTTCATGGGAATATTGTGTTTTGTTTTTTGGACCCACGATCACATGTCAAATATCTTTTGAGAAAAATGATAATAAGATGTTCTCAAATTATATAAATAATAATTTAATTTTTTAAAATGTTATAATTTAATTTCACTTAAGTCAATAAATTTTAAAATACAATGATCATTTTATTTTTATTGAAAATATTCAATCACAACTTTTTTTAAAAAATTTAACAACTTTTATTATATGAATCTTAAAAATTGAATACTAAATCATAACTTATCTTGGTTAACAAAAAATTACAATTTGTCAAATATAAATTTCGTCTTAAAATAATATGCCTCAATCATAATTTTTATTTTGTAAATTGCAAGAGTTAAATAATAAATTACAACTTAAAAAGTGTAATTTTTGTTACTAAAAAATAAATTTTAAAAGTAACAAGCTTCAATCATAACTTTTGTTTAAGAAATAATAAATTTTAGAAAAAATTAATCTTTTAGTCCTTCAACTTTTAAGTCATTTATAACTTAATCCCTTAACTATGACTTGCTGTGACTTAATCTCTTAACTATGACTCACTTATGACTCAGTCCCTCAACTTTTAAATCACTTATAAATTAGTCCCTTAACTTTTATTAAACTTTTTTTTTTATGTTAGCTTATATCTCACATCAATGAGCAAGAGAAAGATATTTTAAAATAATATATAAGTATTTTTTATCCCTCTTATTTGATAAAAAAAATTTTAAAAAAATAAAAAATAAGAACTAAATTATAGGTGAATCAACAATTGAGAGACTGAGTCACAGCGAGTTATAATTGAGGAACTGAGTTGCAGCGAGTCATAATTGAGAAATTGAATTACAAGTGAGTTAAAAGTTGAAGAATTAAAAGATTATTTTTTTTAATTTTTATTTAGAGAATTATAAAATTAAATAAGAAATTAGGTAAAATGGCCCTTTTGATTTAAATGTGAAATTATAGCATTTTAAAAAATAAAATTATCATTTCCCTATCTTTTATGTAATTGACTACGTTGGATGTGTGTGTGTTACGCAGCTTAGTAAATAAGTCATGTTATTTATAACTCATGAAAAAAATAATTTGTTATATTTTTTTATTTATATATCTCGTGGTCTTGCTTACATCTCTTTCTGTCTTGAACAAAATAAGTAAGTTACTTTGATCAAGAGAAACTTACTTAAAAAATTATATAAAACTTGTCTGCCCACCCCCCCCCCTTATTGATAAAACTCAATGGGCTGGAAAGCAAATTTTCTCCTTTAAGTTTGATATCTTTTCACTTAAAGACATATGAAATTCAACACAAATAAAAAAAAATTACCATTATCATTTTTTTACCTGAATTACCATTTTTAAATTTGTGAATGGGAAAAAAGGGGGAAAATGACGATAATTTTCAAATAATAATAATTGATTCGTCCAAGCTGCATCAAAATTCCAAAAGCTAGAGTTGGGCCCTCCGGTGGACCCACGGTGCAATTTTCAAATTGAAGCGCCACCAAAGTCGGACTATCAAATATCAATTGATAGCTTGAAATTCGGCCCAATGTCAATAAACTCAAAAAATTTTGAAAAACTTAAACCCAGGTCCCACAGAAAATTTTTTATCACCAAACATTAAAGTATTATAATTTTTTAAAATATAAAAATATAATATATTTTTTAAAGAGTTAAATATTAAAAATATTTTAAAGTGTAATCATTATCTTTTTTTTTAAAGTGACTCTATTGAATAAATTACTTTATATTTATTTTAGGGTGTTTATAGGGATAAATATAAAAAAATAGAATTAATTTAAAAATAAGTAACTATTTTATTGAAAGTGAGATTCAACTAGAAATACCTTATTTTTTTAACGGAGGGAGTATATGAATAATCAATTCATAAAAAAATTAATATTAAATTAGACTGTTCATACTAAATCAATATTGTCAGTTGATGATGAGCATATTTGCTAAAAAACTTTATCAACTTTTATTTTCGTAATACAAATCTGAACTATCCCGATTGGTGATTGGATTTATTAAATTTTGTATAATTTTTATAAGTATTTTATTTTAATAAATATAAAATAATAAATTAAAATAATAAATTTGAAGGGTCCAACTCTTCTCCATGCATCAGCGGTAGGGGTGTTCACGGGACAGGACGGGATCGGGACACCCCCGTCCCGTGTCCCGTCCCGAAAAAAAGATTGGGACTGAATTTTGGTCCCGTGTCCCGTTCCGTCCCGTCCCGAAAGTCGTCCCGTCCCGTTAAGAGTCGGGACGGGACCGGGACAAGATTAGGATGTCCCGTTGTCCCGATAAATGGAATAATGTCGAAAAAAAATCTGGATAATAACATTCATTAAAATTTTAAATCATATAATTTATTAAATTTAAAATCAAAACAACACAAGCACATAAATAACAATAATTTAAAATCAATTATTGAATTATATTAATTACAACTACATATTATAATAACAAATACAAGTGATCTTTATGCTATAAGATTAGCAACAACAGGCAAGTCAAACACAACATCAAATCATTATTCTTCTACTTTAGTGAAGATGTACTAAGCTAATTACTCTTCTAAAAATAAGCAAGAAATATGCTATAAATAAAAATTATTAAATAGATAGATATAAGAATAAATTATATTAATATATTATAAAGAAA